AATTAAATTTGTGATCAATTGAAACTAGTTTGCTCAAAATCGGATACGCATCCGCTGTGAGACCTCCCTTGTTCCTGAGTAAAGGTCACTACATTCTATTTTTAACAGGCACCGGAAACTATCAATTTGATATTTACCGAATGATGCGTGACGCCAATAGGTAACTTTTTTTATTATTAATATCTTTCGCTCCCTCGCCCTCTTCACCTATAACCTTTACGTTATTAAAGAATTGTTTTTATTACATTCCATACACAGGAACAGATGGGGGCCTTTCAACCCAAAAAGCAACATCATGTGGCTGCATTACCTCGTTGACAAACTCTTGTCGAAAAAACATTGGACGGAGACGGCCACTTTTGACCATCGCGTCTTTCTCGGCCAGATGCATCACCTCAAATCCCGTCTTCTTTCATTCACATCGTGTCACGATTTCGTGTGCAGTCCACTTTTAGGAAAGTATTTGACCATGCCGGACCCCAAGGAGTATGAAGCCGCAAGCCGTGGGCGGAGAATAAGCGTGAAAAGAGATGTCAAAAAGTGATGATTTCGACGTGTTGCACATTATTCAATTACAAGATGTATAATTAAATATTGTTATTTTTCAATCAGCTCATAACTAAAATTTGCAAATTAAAAAATTATAGTTGATAAAATTATCAAGTTTACTAAAGATTGCTTGAGTGATTAAATTTTTAAGTGTCCGTCCAGCGTCAGTACAAAAGTGCGGTTTTTTCAGCTCTGGGCAAGTATTGGAATATAGAAAAATTTAAATAACAAGATAAACGTAAATAGTAATTAAATAATTGATTAAATTCAATAAGAAGTAATTATTAAATGGAAGAAAAGTGAAACCTAGTAGGAAATTGTGCTCACAATTGGGACGCAAACCAAATTCAACCCAGATTATCTTTTTACCATCTCAGTTTGAAAGAGAAACTCTTTAGAAGCAACATTTAGTGCGGCACTTGCGCAAAATGCAGCAAGTTTTTGGCACCGCAAGTTCGCGAAAGCGCGCAACTGCTGGCAAGAAACACAAATTCAGCTGGAAAACCGAACGTTTTCGCGAACTTGCGACGCTCAAAACTTGCTGCATTTTGCGCAAGTGCCGCACTAAATGTTGCTTCTAAAGAGTTTCTCTTTCAAACTGAGATGATCAAAAAATAATCTGGGTTGAATATAGTTTGCGTCCCCATTGTTAAAGTTAGGATACACGGTTAAACCCTCGATTTATGCTGTGCGTAGGCAGATAATAATGTCGAAAACGATGATGGCGATCAAGCAAAGGCAGAAATCCAAACCACAAACAACTAACTGCCCGCATCATCCAGTCGAAATGAGCCGAAATGCAGACATATTTAATATTTCGTAGCTTATATCAAGTAATTATTTATATCTTCGACCCACGCATACATACATCGACCAACCAGTTGAAAATGTGTGTCAGCATATTTAATGACTGACCAGAGAAAGGAGATCCTGCAACATTAAATTTAGCCGCTGCCCTGAACCCGCTTTTGGTATTTGGTGGACTTGGACTGGATAAAATATTTCGTTTATGAGCCCGTTTTTCGGACCGTGCTCTCGAATTAATTGATTTTCACTAAACACTCGACTCGTTCAAATGAGTTATCTACACATTCCACTTTTCATCCGGGCACGATTTATCAATTTATTTGCATGCATGCATGGATTTACAGAATGTATGGGTGTGTGCAGTGGCCGCGGAAGGGTGGGGGGAGACAGAGGGACAATATCCCCACGGTTGTTCGATGTCCATATTATCTCCCCATGTTATATGAACCCCTCGCTCCTCCCTATCCTACAATGTTAATGTCCCCACGGCTTCCGCGGTCTCTGGTCCCCACCGTTGTTCGATGACCCCGTCATCTGTCCATGTTATGCAAACTCCTCCTACAATGCCAATGTCCCCACAGCTTCCGCGGCTACTGCAACACCTTAGCGTGGAGACAGAGGGACAATGTCCCCACAGTTTGATGTCCCCATCATCTGCCCATCGTATACAAACCCCTCCCTCCCCCATCCTACAATGGCAACGTCCCCCATGTCCCCACACCTTCCGCGGCCACTGTACATCCATATGGTAAATACGTATTTCGACCATTAATACAAGACAAGAAGCTTATTGTGCACGAGGCCATTGTTAAATGAACACATTGTACAAATGGAGTTTTTACATTGATCTCATCTCACCCAGCGACCGGTTGGTCGGATCTTTTATTGCTCAGGATGCAGGAAAGAAAACAGGCTGCTTTTGGGGCTGTGTATAGATCAACAAAATTCAGCGGAGGAGAGGAAAGAGGGAAATAATAATGGGGCGATACACGATAAATTACAGGACATTTGCTAAGGGCTGACTTTTATCACGGAACCATTTCCTCTCTCGCTTTCACTCAGCGTCTCGCAGCCCAAACAGGATTTCTGCCACCACGAGGATAATACCACCACCAGCGTCATCAATTCAGCGATGGTCTGGTCTCCAGTTTCCTCTCCATTTAATAAATTCAGGCATTTGCATCTTTGCGAAAAAAAATAAATTGTAGATTAGAAACGGAACGATGAAATAGGAAGGCGTTAGGTGCGTATTTGCAGACGTGGGCAAAATACGTTGGAAAAATGTGCAGTATTTTGAGCTCCGGTATTTTTCAGGGTTTGGATTTCCGGGGGTGTTACACCCACAAAAAGACGAGAATTTGTATCGAGGAGGCAACAGTCTCACCAAAATATTTACAGGTTTTGTGAAGAAACTAACGTTTTATCGGTGTCAAAATACTTTATTTTTAAAAAATCCTGAGAACAATGTATTTTGAAGTTAATTTCTTAAAAAAAACATGTATTTTCATAAGACTGTTGTCTTCTCGATGCAAATTTGTGTCTTTTTGTGGGTGAAATCTACCCTTTTTCGCTGTTAAAATACATTGCTTTCACGATTTTTTAAAAATCAAATATTTTGACACCGATAAAAAGTTTATTTCTTCAGAAATTTTCGACTTACTGTTGCTTTCTCCACGTGAATTTTCGTCTTATTTTTGTGGGTGTAACACCCCTCAAAATCCAAACCCTGGGAACTACCGAGCTCAAAATACTGTACATTTTGACAAAGTACTTTCCCCACCACTGGTACGTACATACATAGATTAATCAAATTTATACCATTACAATGCACGCAGTGATCAAAGTTGGTAAAGCGGAAGGAGGCCATTTGTCATGCAGCCGACATCCACTACTGAACTGATATTATCCTCCTTGTATTAAGTGAAAGTGAAACGCATGTCCATCGTCATAAAAAAGGAGTCGATTTAAGTAAGGAACGAACGAACGCGTTATAAATGGGGAAAGATGAGAAAGATGACGCTTTCTCCGACAAGGAATTTGAATACGAAGAAGAAGATATGATCCATCCTCCTTTGGTAGCAATAATATTTCTGAAATTTGAAAATCCTCCTTCGAACCTGACACCCAACATATTTCGCATGTTGGGATTACTAAGCCGTCTCACTTTTAGTTAGATACACATGTAACGTGATAAATGTTCAAAGTCGATTCGGTGAAGGACTTTATCCAATATTCTAGTATGAATGTCTGATAAGACGTAATCCAATACATAATGTCACATCAACTCAACTGAGGAGGAGGAGATCGTATCAGATAGCAGCAATATTTCACGATTTTCTTGGCGGACTGGAGAGCTACATAAAGAAGGAAATATCACACCTGCCTAAATATGTATGTGTGCATGAGTATCTGTATGCAGATAAGTATGTACATGCATGTCTGCCTGTTAGTATATGTGTTTGTACAGTGTCTTGTTTCTTGAAGGTTTGCTACATTTCTTAAATGAAGTGCAAGAAATGCGAGGTGCAAAAAACTGGGAGAAAGTGCAAGAAATATGCGTCATCTAGCCAAGCGCCATATGAAGTATAGCGGCTGGAGAGAGTTTCTTGCGCCTTGCATTTCTTGCAGGTCAAAATGGCTGCAGGAAACTACTTTATTGTGGTAAGTTCTTGCAAGTCTTGGTTCCGAAACACGGGGTCAGCAGTGACTACTTTCACACAGTGTTTCGTTTATTGCGGGTTTGCTACATTTCTTGCACTGCAAAGGAAGAAATGCGAGGAGACTAGGAGAAAGTGCAAGAAATATGCGCTATACGAACTATAACGGCGGAGCGTAGTTTCTTGCAGGTCTAAATATGTAGCTGCAAGAAACCACTTTCTTCCCGTTATTTCTTGCAAGTGGTTACTTTCGCTCGAAACACTGGTTTGCATGCATGCAGATCTGTCATATTTCCACCAATAAATAATAATTGGTGCAAAGTATCATGCAGCCCGTATGGATTACAAAGTGGATGACATACATAGACACGTTACGACTTTTGACATGAGGATTCAAACGGTGGAAAATTTGTAGAAAAAAACCTTGTCATGAATCAGATATGTACATATGTATGCAAAATGGAATCGGACAGCTCTTTGGTACATAAGATTTAGATGATGTCCTTCTCACTCAATTTTTTGCACTTTCTTCCCCTTCATTCATACCCACGCATTGACATCCAGAATCCAATATCGGTATCAAAACATGAGAAAGATAACATAGGGTTATCGATTTTGTCATAAAGTAGCATAAAAGTCGGCTCACTTGCTACGATCTCGGGCAAGATTATGATAAATGAGCCCGACCCAAGATCAAGTTTGGGTAATGTGCTCGAAAGATATTAACCTCGTCGCTCTATTTCTTTCTCCAGTGGCCGCGGAGGCTGTGGGGACATCTGGGGACATTAACATTGTAGGATGAGGGGAGCGAGGGGTTTATATAAGACGATAGGGACATCGAATACCCTTGGGGACATTGTCCCTCTCCCTGTCCCCCCGCCCGCTTCCGCGGCCACTGCTCTCTCTCCCCTCCAAAAGTGATAAAGGAGAAAGCCGGAGAGTAAATAAGTTTGGCGTTTTATAGAAATTATTATTTTTAATTCATACCAAAGTTTATGAGCAGCGTGGTAAAAGTGAGACGATTCATGGTGACGAAATCCTTGTTCCTGTGACGTTGGTTCGTTCCCCTTTTCAAGTAGCTTATCTTTCCTCACTCGGCTCGATGGGGACTTGCTGTTCAAAGTTATTTGTTTGTTTAATTAAGCAACCAGTTCTGTACTTCCGTAAGTAAACTTCACATCGCAATGTTTCCAAAGGGGGCACCCCGGAAAATAAAGCAAACCAAACCACAAAACTCTTTGATGCGTCAGTTCGATGTGTGTGTAGTTAGTTGTTCACTCGTTGACACAAAACCGAACCCGTGTGTCTCAAATTATTGGTAGGTTTCATTCATGTAAAATTTTAAAGCTGTCTGTTTGTGTCAGAATTTGAAAATAGTTCATCCTACACGACACGACATTATTGGCTTTCATTAGTCGCCAGCCACGCAAGCAAGATACGTTTAAGAGGAAAGTTGTGTAGTGTTGTTTGAGTTACTTATTACTTATCTGATTGGATATGGATTGAGCTTTATGGATGATGAAAGTGGTTACGGAAATGTTTCACTTTTCCTTCAAACTGGGTGTCAGAATTGAGGCATTTTAGACTTATCGGTAATTGAATTACTGCCGTGCGTATTATTGAGGAGTGATCGATAAGTGCTGGTGGAAAAATGGATGGATGGATGGATGGGAAGCTTCTTGAAGAATTGGATTGGATTAGTGATATATTACGTAAGTAAGTAAGTAAATCGTTAATTTTGTGCTCAAGTAATTCGTAATGGTTGAGAGAGGAGGATGCGATTATGGAAATCCAGTTATAGACTCTTTTCTTTGTTTTCTTTCTTCTTCTTCTTCACGGGGAAACTTTGTCATTTAAAAGTTGGCGTAGAGTTGATTCACTTTTTTTCATATTATTTTTTTATTCATTATGCAAACAAATAGTTGAAGAAAGTTGGGGTCTCTTCATTAGTGCGTGATTAGAGATGAGATGAGATGAAGGAAGTAGTGGAGTGATGAAAGTGATGACTTTCACTCGATTCAGCTCTCAGTTTGTGGGACGCTGAATTTTTGGTCTTTTGTTAGCAGAGAAAGTAGCTTTTTTTAAGGTGGTGATGCACTTAAGGGGACAGAGAGGAGCCTTGGATATTTCTTGGGTGAGAAATGTGACGTTATTTGCAGTAGCGGGGATTTTTAATTTTGGAGGTTATCTTGAGTTGGTTATGTTAATTTTTTAAATGATAAATTGAGTGGGGGGGGATAAGATGTTAATTTTTTGTGGAGTGGTTTTGAAGGGACGAGAAGAAGCCTTGGTTTTAGGTAGGATTTTTAGAGCGAGGAGAGGACAAGAGGATGTGGCGTGGACTAGGTCGTGGAACGAACTGGGAGAGAAAATGCCCAAGACGGAAATGTATTTCAGTTTCACCAGTTGCCCAATAACCCTCCCACCAACTTTTCTCAGGAGCATGTTCCAGTCCCGCTTTGTAAATATTCCCGTACGTATTCATACGTACGGGAAAGTATGTATGTAGCGTCACAAAGGAAATCGAGTTTTTAACTTAATATATCGAAAGTTGGTAAGAAATTATTGTTCAAAATTTTGTGCGAGGTATATTCTTGTTTAGTTTTAATTTAGTACATATGAGCTTCATAAATTATTTGGCAGAATGAAGATAATTTTATTAGGAACGATTTTCTGGAAATTTTGATGGTTCGATTTAGCAAAACGTTAATGTTTATCGAGTAGAAGAAAAATGCAATATTCATGGGCGGAGAAAATCTCTACTTGATTCGGATAAGCGTCCAAGATCGCGATTCGACCCCGTGCAAAAGTTGTGTACATAAATTGACATGTGTCATAAAATAATTCCTGTAATCTTCATGTGTATGTATATTTAGAACAGTTTCCAGGATTGAAGTCCCACTCCCACGCTAAATTCATGTCCAAACTGATCCTTTGAATAAGAAATGATGTTGACGTTGGTCCAGTGACATCCTTCATCCTCCGCACCGATGACAATCAACCTTTCTGATTTTAAATTCTTCTGTGGCTGCAGTCAAGTGAATGCATCCAACCCACCCACGATTACTTGACATTTAGCAGTGTTTCGGATGCAAGAAATCATTTTCAAGAAATATTTGAAATAGCAAGAAAGAGGATTTTGGAGATATTTTGATCTGCAAGAAATGCAAGGCGTGAGAAATGACGCCCCGACGCTATAATTCGTACGGCTCGTGGCTAGATGGCCTATTTCTTGCAGTTTCTTGCACCTCGCATTTCTTGCGTTTTTTGCTTCGAAGTGCAAGAAATGTACTGACCACCCGGGAGAAACGAAACACTGCAAGCAACCACTTGCAAGAAATCATGGGAAGAAAGTGGTTTTTTTGCATGTAAATATTTTGACCTGCGAGAAATGTAAGGCGCAAGAAACCACGCCACGCCGCTATAGTTCATACGGCGCGTGGCTGGGTGGCGCATACTTTCTCTCAGTTTCTTGCACCTCGTATTTCTTGCATTTTTTGCTGTGGATTGAAAAAAATTTAGCAAATCCACAAAAAAAAAGAAACACTGCAAGAAACAACCGCAAGAAAATGCAGGTATTTTGCCCTGCAAGAAATGCAAGGCGCTAGAAACTACACCGCGCCGCTATACGGCACGTGGCTAGATTAGGCTTATTTCTTGCACTTTCTCCCAGTTTCTTGCACCTCACATTTCTTACTTCACAGTGCAAGAAATGCATCCCAAACCCTCAACAAACGAAGCACTCACATTTCGTAGCTAAGGGCTGCTCGAACTATGTAACTAGGCACTAAATGTCAAGCCATCGTGAATGTCAAATTCTGTTTGTCCAACAATTTTTGAACAATGTTGAATAACTTTTCTGATTCGGTGGTTTCGAAATTTCGAAAAAGTTTTGAACCCAAAACTTTACAATGGGGCTGATACAATCCATCCTCCTCGGACTTTGTGGGGGCCTCGTGAACACGATTCGGAACGATTACCACTCCTTCGTCCAGTGCATGTTTTCCTGCGACTCGTGGATGCTCAAGGTGGAGAAGTGCTTGTCCTACGTGGGCTTCATTATGGGGGCTTCCGGACCGGGTGAAGTCGTCTTTCTCTGGGCGGATGCGCTTATCAATCAGATTTCGATAACCCATTTTGGAGTAACGTTTCAAAACAATCCCGTCCTCGTGAATGGAGTGGCGTTCATCATGGCAAATTTTGGGCAGACGCAACTCAACGAGATTTGGGGGACGGTTCGACAGCAGAGTTTATGCTTGATGTTTGATAACTGTCATGTTTCGAGTTTGAAGAAATTGTCGGGTTGGAAGAAATGGGTGAGTTTCTGTGCATGCTGCTGAGGTCAAAAGGATACAAATGAATTATTATTGACGTAGTACTTAATGACTTATCGCCAAAATTGCCAAAATTAATCATCACATTTTTAATCATTTCTCAGGTCTGGGAATTTATTTTAAAATTCTGGACGGCAAATTTGTAGTGCAGGTCGTTGTCATTTATATAAAAATTTGCATCCCAGATTTTGACGATTTTTGAAGAAGATCTCAAGTTTAAGAAGGCTTCAGAAAAATTGGTACTCATCAAAACCAGCTTAAAAATGCACCGCTATTCTATCAATCAACTTACTGACTATAAATTTGACGCCCAGAATTTTAAAATAAATTTCCAAAGTGGAGAAATGACTAAATTTTTTACTTTTGGCGATTTTTGTGATGAGTCATCGAGTCGCGCGTTAAATTGCAATGCAAAAAGATTGTTATTTTAGCTAAAATTAAAAAAAAAATAAATACGATTAACTTTCTGCAGTACTGCAACGTGACGGAGGAGCGGGGATATTTCTACGTGGCAAGGAAGCAGTCTACGTGCGAAAAAGTGTTTAACGAAGTTCCCTTGATGGTCCTTTGTCTCGGAATGTGTGCATTGTTCATCATTGCAAAGTTTATGGTGCGTGGAATAGATATTTTAGTTTCATTTTTATAATCTAAAGAAATAATAGTTGTTTTTCAAAATTTATAGAAACCGTATGTACAAGCTCGAAGGGATGGAATGCGAGTAATTGATCGTGAGAATTATAACGACACAGCGTTAAACTTGGCAAATTCCGATGACGTCGGGTACCCAGGGGACAATTCTTCGGATCCGCCAATTTCCCCGGAAATCAATGATGATCTCCCGAATGTGCCAAATGATGCCGACAACTCTGAACCAGAGGGTCCTGCAGTACCACCGCCGACACCTCCGCCCCCTGACCCATTTCCATCTGATCTTCCAAGTCCAACAACCCCCCCACAAAGGGGCTCGGATGGCGGGGGGGATGGTGGTGGTGGTGGCGACACCCAACCCGTCAACACAATTTGCACCATTTGCAAGGAATTGACCACCATTCATGTCATCAATCCGACCCCGGTCTTCTGCTGTCCAGGTTGCAAAGAAGGTGGTTCCGCGGCGGGGTGTAAGACTTGCGAAAAAATGGTTGCAGAAGCCGTGACGAAATATTTGTCCGAAGTGATGGTGGAAATGCAGAAATGCCTTTGTGACCAGTGCGTGGAACGAATTTCGAAGTGTTTAGAAGGTATTGGTTGGAGTGGGGATTGTGGCGATTGTGGGTTTAGACATCCTCCTGATTAACTAAACGATTGTATTTGAGTAATATTCTTGGCTCATATTTAGTTTACTTATGTATGTATGTAAATATATGGTTTTATGTATGGTATCATTGTAATAAATTTAATTGACCATTTTTTGCTAGTGGTAAAAAAGATGATAAATTAAAACCGTAATTTGTATGAAATTTGCAGAAGGTACCATCCTCCAAGAAGGTTGAGGTTTGGCAGAGATATTTGCATCCGAAGAGGAGAAAACGCACCCTAAAGGTGACTAATTTTACACTTTCCGAATTTTCTGTACGTTTTCTACTCTTCGGATGCCAATATCTCTGCCAAACGTGCCCATTGGGAGATCGTGGCTTTCGCAAATTTCATCCTAATTTTTGCGATCGATTGACATTAATTTGAGTAAAATCTGAGAGCATACACTGAGAAACCCCCATTGTGAGTTTTCTTTAAAATGTCTTTCATTATAGACAAGCAGAACTAATCCTTGACATGTATCGAAGTAAATAAGTACGCAATTTCCCTCTGATAAGTTATGTTAGATAAGTAGGTATCCGATCTAATTTATTACAATGTTTACACCATATCATTTTTGCACAAAATCTAGTACAAGTACAATCCATAAGAAAAATAAACATTTGAGATTATTGGGAATACAAATACATAAATTTGTCTGCTAAATAAACTAACTATGAAAAAAGTGTCCCCCTCAAAAAGTGTCCCCTGGGAATTTACCCCGATTCATTTCATTTCCTTCCCACGGATAAAATTCCATTCCTTCAAGTACAAGGTCAGTGAGTCAAGTTTTTTGTTTGACGCATAATAATTTATATTTAAGCTGGGGAGAAAAAAAATAATTTTTGAAAGTTGGCCAAGAAAGATGTGGATGAAAAATTGCTGATGAATAAGATGACAGGTGGATTGACATTGACAAGATTAATGATAGTTTTTCTCCCCCCCAAAAAAAGTCCTCTTTTTTCACACCACCACGTTAAATTAGTTGGTAGTAGTACAAATACATACGCATGAAATTATCTATGAGACCATTCACGAATCTTTTATACAAAATTAAAATTGGTTCCCACAATGTTTCCGGAATTAAAAAAAAGTAGTTGAGGGTTTGAGAAGAACCGGAATTTAGATGCGTTTCATGATACTTCTTTCATGTCCAGTATCTTCTGTCCTGTAATTTGCATAATAAGAGTAAAATCATGTATTTTCATATGTACATATGTAAATATTTCTGTTAGAAAAATTACGTTTTTAAAATTTCCATATGTTTCGCTATCTCTTGAATTGAGTCAAAATTTCCGAAATTTTGAACATTTTTTTATATTGCCTCCGTAAATTCAAGAGATATAGAAATTTTGAGAAATTTTAGAAACTTAGGTTTGCTAATTGCTTCCTAAGAACTTACCAATTTAAAAAACATTCACTCCCTCCAGATATTCCACGATGATCACATTTACGCCCGCATTCTCGACACGACTTTAGGACTCCACGCTCTGCATGGGGGTTGCGATGGTCAGGAGGTAGAAGAGGATGACCAACCCCAGGACTACGATCCCCTTGATGTGGTCACTGATTCATAAGTAAAATATTTATACAGATAATATTCCCCACTGAACACAAATGCAAACTAAATTAAACCATGTACGCAGTTCTATCTTAAAATGGAGGTCTCCCAGCGTATGCTCTCTGATTTTGGGCAAGCTAGTGTCAATCGATCACGAATTTAGTTAGTATGAAATTTGTGAAAGATACGACCTCCCAATGGGCACGTTTGACCGAGAGATTTGCATCCGAAGAGGAGAAAATTGCGCAGTAAATTTGGAAGATGTCAAAATTGTCAACTTTACTGTGCGTATCTCCTCTTCGGATGCAAATATTTCTGCAAAACGTGCCCATTGGGAGATCGTATCTTTAGCAAATTTCATACTAATTAAATTTGTACTCGATTGACACTAGTTTGCTCAAAATCGGAAAGCATTCGTTTGGAGACCTCCACTGTGACTTGATGGTCTATGTACCTTGACAGCATTTTGATAACGTGTGGGACGACGACTTTGTCTGCGAAAGAACTCTTTAATAATGAGAAGATGAATTCACTCCGGAAGCGAACCAAGCACTGATGACCGAACGAATTGGAAATCGCATTAAGTAGTGTCAAGAAGGTCTGGTTACGTAAATATGTATGCAAATCCCGGAGTGGGACCAAAAAGTCGGGAAGAATTTCTAGAAACAAGGTCAGCATAGCTGAAGCGAAGTGGTTATGACATGATAACCGATATATCCGACCCACGTATTTAAATACATACAACGCATTTATTTATATTTTCCGTGCTGCGCCACTTCTCTTGTCATTTCACTTCTTTTATCGATAATGTCACTTACAAACTGAGAAAACATGTTATTTCACCACATTTGTGCATTACGGAAGTTTAGAGAAATGGCTATAAATACATGGATGCGAGAGAGAGAGAGGATAAAAAATTGTGGAAATGGAGAATTTCATATTCCTTGCTAAATGCAGATGCAAATCAGCCCGGTATTTAAGCGAATTTCGTTATCTTATCAGTCAGGGGCTGCGGAAGGGGGGGGGCAGAGGGACAATATGTCCCCACGGGTATTAAATGTCCCCACGATTATTCAATGTCCCCACGGGTATTAAATGTCCCCACGATTATTCAATGTCCCCACGGGTATTAAATGTCCCCACGATTATTCAATGTCCCCACGGGTATTAAATGTCCCCACGATTATTCAATGTCCCCACGGGTATTAAATGTCCCCACGATTATTCAATGTCCCCACGGGTATTAAATGTCCCCACGATTATTCAATGTCCCCACGGGTATTAAATGTCCCCACGGGTATTAAATGTCCCCACGGGTATTAAATGTCCCCACAGGTATTAAATGTCCCCACGGGTATTCAATGTCCCCACGATTATTCAATGTCCCCATCATCTCCCCATCTCATACAAACCCCTCCCTCCCCCCATCCTACAATGTTAACGTCCCCACATGTCCCCACGGCTTCCGCGGCCACCCTCTTATCTCACAATTTAACCCTGGCATGTGAAAAAAGTGGGAATGAATCCCGTCTGAAGACCTTCTTGTCATTGTCGAGTCACATTTCAGTTTCGTTTCGTTTCCTAAATCCAGCACGTTTTTTTTGCAAATCTGCACCACCACCAGTCCATTAGACAAATGTCTAAAGTTAACTTTTCGGCTACGTGCACCTTCTTCTTGTGCATATCTGAGGAGAATACGTCAGAAAATTATAATGGGGTTCGTTAGTAAAAAGTATGTACAGACAGACAGGCATAAATGTTCGAGATGTGATGTGTTGTATATTTGTGATGTAATCTTATCCGCTAAAAGTATTGCGAATTCTCTCTCCGTTCCATTTTGGCTAATGGTGGTTTTAAAAGTTTGAAAGTACGATTAACGATGATTGATTTGCATTTTTAAATAGATCTGCATGCATTTGTCTTCGGGGGCAAGGTCGGCATCAGTACATGCATAATTTTTATGTATGCAGATATGAATAGAGAGAGAGAGGAATGATTTACGTCAAGGTTTAAAAGCAGAGGCGTCATCATTACACGAGGCAGAGAAGTGCATTTTGTTAATATTTATTTAAAAACCTTCAAAAGTAAGGAATGATTCGAATTTTGCAGAGTTTTGAACCGAATTAAGTATGAACAAAGGTGATCTCATTCATAATTTACATATGTGCATGTACATAAATATGCAAGTAATTTGCATAATTTCCAATAGCTTGGCGGATGATAAGAGTGACGGACATCTTAATTAATTACAACTATTACAGTTACATTTGCTCGGGTTGACAGTCGGTTTGACTTCCGGTGGAGGCGGTTTCGGTTTGCTGGGGCGAGACCAGGCCCAAATGGCTATGCCAGCCGTGACAGCGTAGGTCATCTTGGCCACCTGGGATTTGTATCAGGGAAAATTAAGGTTAATGTTAAGATCATGATTGCGGTTTGCAAAAAAAGTCGCAAAAAGTATGCACTTACGTTGGCCCGACCGTTGATCGTGACGGAATTGAAATATTTGGAAAGTCCTTTCAATTGTGCTTCTTCGCTTCCACCCATCGTGCGAATTATGAATAGTTCGTGGGATGAGATGCAAGAAGTCGGTCTGAAATTGGAGGAATTAATTTAATGCTGCAGTTTGTTAATTACGCACTGTAATAATTAAATAGCTAAATACCTATTATTTAACAAAGGACGAATAGACTTGATAAATCGCAGTGTGGAAATTATTGGTCGGCTGACTTTGCATCACGATTACTTGACTTTTAGTACGTATCTAGGCAACGCTTGGGTCCCTTAAAATGCTTCATCCCCACGGAAATCACTGCGCTGATGCTTTATTTGCATACATACGGACAATCCTGCATATTTATAAGAGGTCATCCATAAATTACGTAACACAAAAATCGCGGTTTTCTAGACCCCCCTTCGCCTTTAGTATGTGTAACATTGGCACGATATCATTGGAGCTTTATTAGCACACCTCTCGCGTTACGTAATTTTTGGACGGCCCCAAACTTCAAGTTTATGGACTTCATTCACTTAAAAAAATTGAAACCAGTATGAAATGTCCTGCCCCAGTAAAACCGACGTCTTCGCCACCCCTCCCCCCCAACCCCCACCCACAGCCACACTCGAAGCGCCTGAAACGAACGAGATTTCCGCCCAGATTGCCGAGATCAAGGAGAAGATATCATTAAACGCGAAATCGGATGAAGTATTTGACTGTGCGCATAACGAGGAGATCAGAGCTCAATATCAGCCCACGTTGGGAAGTGTCAAATGCGTCATAATCTCGTTGGAAGGGACGCTGTTCACGATCCGATGTCACGACGCGATCCCCACACCTGGAGCGGTGGAAGCGTTTGCCAAGTCAGGATTGGTTTATGAATTTTGTTCATGAAATTAAATTCGCAAGCTGCACCCTTAAAAATCCGGTGTTATTAATCGTGCATACATATTTTACTTCACCAAATGGTAATAAATTTTCACGGGCTGGTACTAATTTTATCACCGTTAGGTGAGAAACATTATTACCGTGTGGTGAAGTCACATAACTGTCACTCCTTCATTGACGATTAACACCTAGGGGCCGCGGAAGCCGTGGGGACATTTGGGGACATTGCCATTGTAGGATGTGGGAGGGAGGGGTTTGTATAAGATGGGGAGATGATAACCGTAGGGGAATTGTCCCCTCTGTCCACACCCTTCCGCGGCCACTGTTAACACCGGATTATTAATAAGAGTGTAAAGAAACTGATTATCTTTAATGCATCTTTTTCAGGCTGCGAAGATCCGGTCTAAAAATCCTGCTCGTCACGAATACTTGGCTAAAACCGAACCAGCGCATTTTAAAAATTTTGAACAAATTGGGCTTCCCCGTGGATGAAAGTGAACTCTACACTTCGTCCGATTGTTGTAAAATGTTCATGAATAAGCATGGTATGAAATTTTGGTGAAAATAGATATGCAGAATAAGATATGCAGAAAAATTTGAACATTTTCATCATTATTACAAATTTTATTTTTTTTGTAGAGCTGAAGCATCCATTTTTGCTGGTGTCGGACGACGTGCTCAAAGATTTCAATGAAATGGAGACATTGAACCCTTTTCAGTATGACAGTATCGTCCTCGGACTTCCGTCCACGATGGTGGACTATCGCCTAATGACGAAGGCTTTGAGGTAAATTATACGCTTTTTTAATAATACATTTTCAAAGTTGTTTAAAAACAGATTTGATGGCTCATCAGCAAAATTGTCAAAATCAACTACCTAATTCTTGCTCCGGGAATTTATTTTAAAATTCTGAACGACGAATTTATAGCAAGTTGGTTGATGGAATGGGGGTGATTTTTTTAAGCCAGGTTTGAAGAGTTCTAATTTTTCTGAAGGCTTCTTAAACTTGAGATCTCCTCCTTCAAAAAAGTGTCAAAATCTGGAGTACATATTTTTAAAAATTGGCAACGACAATTGTGCCGTCCAGAATTTTTAAATAAATTCCTAGGACCAAGAAATGATAAAAAATTTGCTGATTTTGACGGTTGACGGTGGGTCATCGAGTCCTATATTAATTGCTACATTATATTCATATTATTTGTTCAACTATATTCAGCATTCTTCACAACGGGCACCCTTTACTCGTTTTGCATCCTGCAAGAACTGAGAAAGCGAAAGGATCCTGTCAAATCATTGCGCCTGGTCTGTACGCCAAGACGCTGGAATTCGCCACGGACGCAAAGCTCGTCATCCCGTCCAAGCCGAGTGTCGGATTTTATGTCGAGGCTTGCAAATATGTCGGGTTTCCGCCAGAACAATGTGTCATGATTGGCGATGTAAGCTAATTCGATATCTCAATTATCAGAAATATATATCCAGTGTTTCGGGTGGAAGTAGCAACGTGCAAGAAATAACGGGAAGAAACTGGTTTCTTGCAGGGAAATATTTTGACCTGCAAGAAATGCAAGGTGCAAGAAACTACGACGCGCCTGCGCGTGGCTGGATGGCGCATATTTCTTGCACTTTCTCTTTCTCCCAGTTTCTTGCACCTCGCATTTCCTGCGTTTCTTGCTTTGCATTGCAAAAAATGTAGCAACCCACAAGAAACAAAACACTGATTTTTCAGTGGATTTCCCAAATTTTAAAAAAGTCTAAAAAAAAACGCGAATTTTTACTCAAACGTAAAAATTCGCAAAATTCATTCATTCATTCATTCGCAATTCACAAAGTTATCCGTTATATTTAGTGCATTTCTGACGATGTCCGTAACCCCCACGAAATCTGCATGAAAGCAATTCTCGTCAAGACGGGAAAATACAAAAACCAAGACGAGTTCAAGTACTGTCAAGTGCGGCCGGAATTGGTGGTGGACAATTTCTACAAGGCGATCAGATACGTCCTCTCCGCCACGGATACCGACCCCGACAAAGCGTCCGATCTGAGTGCGGAAGCTGCTAAGCGAGAACAGTGGAAAAAGGAACACGACGACTTCTTCTTGAGGCTCTCTTCTTACGCGAATGATGACAAATGTGTCAAAAGTAGGTCCATTTGCCCGCAAAAAATTGGCTCTTTTATTTGGTAAAATTTTGTACGATCTTGCATAAAAAATTCGCAATTAAAAATAAATCAAATCGATAAACTGCCATCTGCCCGGAAAAAATTGGCTCTTTTATTTGGTAAAATTTTGTACAATCTTGCATAAAAAATTTGCAATTAAAAATAAATCAAATCGATAAACTGTCACTTGATTTAAAAGAAAGTTAAGAAGGCAGATTTGAGTTACAGATTAGATTATGTTATAATTTATACACGCCGAATGTGCTGGTTAGTTCAGTGGCCGCGGAAGCTGTTGTGGGGACATGGGGGACATTTACATTGTAGGATAAGGGGAGGGAGGGGTTTATATTTATAAGATGGATGAGGAGATAGATGATGGGGACATCGAACAACAGGGGGGACATTTTCCTACACTTCCGCGGCCACTGTTGGTTGGTTGGTTGGTGGCGTCAGTCAACACTTATTTTTATCCTTTTCCACCGTATCTTCCAACGGTTGTTTCAAAGTTTCTCGAATGAACCACGACGAAATGGAGGATGAGCTGCATAAAACGCACAAGATGATGTATGGCAGGGACGTTGCGACTGTTAAAATTAATTGGGAGGCTTATTAAAATTCGAGTTTTTGTTGATATGCATATGCATAAAAGAGTGCATGAGTTATTACAAAGTACGTACTTGATCTCAGTAAAAACAATTGTGGAGCCAATATTCCTCCAAAATAGCCTAAAAATGCGGCGAATCCTAAGCAGGTGGAGCGCAAATTTGTTGGAGCAGTTTCCAAAATTAGGCAGGTTAAGGCTGAAACACAAAATAATAGTTACTCATTTAAACTGGTTAGGCACTTTTTATATGAAAATACTCCGTCAAAAAGCATCAGCAATTCTGTTCTTCCCAGGTTTTAGATTTCCAGGGATGTTACACTCACATAAAGACCAGAATTTGCATGAAGAAGACAACAGTCATAAGAAAGTATTGGTTTTGTGAAGAAATTAACTTTCAATCACTGTCAAAATACTTTATTTTAACAAATCGCGCGAATAATGCATTTTGGCAGTGATAAAAAGTTAATTTCTTAGCAAAACCTGTATTTTCCAACGATTTTTGTCTTCTCCAAGCAGATTTTCGTCTTTTTGTTAACACCCCTGGAAATTAAAACCCTGGGAAGAACGGGGCTAAAAATCATCTTTTCTGACAAGTATTTTGCCCACCCTTGAATTAAATACGTACATATTTATTTATATACCTCCCCAAGCTGCAACTATCCCAAACCGACCGGAAAGACTGAGGACATTGACCAGCATGGGGGATGAGGCGTCAATCCCCACCGAAAATTCGATCACCAGCAACGCCACGATAAACGCCGTGCCCAGTGTCATGAACATAATAAATCTACAAAAAAATAAATTTCTGAAGATTGCGTTCCCAATCAAAAAATATTTTTATAACCCACGTTTTCCTCCTTCCAATCCAATTTGTAAACAGAATTGGAGCCGGTGACGCGATCAAGTCAAAAATTCCCATATAAAACATGTTCCAATAGGCGTTTCCGCTGAGATTTTTCGCGTTAAAGGTCACCCCGTAGTACACGACGGCGCAGGTGATGTTACACAGGACGAGGATCGACATGTGCAAGCGTAACCTGCTGTTCGAAGCGATCATTCGAATCGCTTTGATGCCATGAATTGAGGAGGACTCCTCCGCGACAATTTCTTCTTGAAGGTCCGCCACCATTTTGAGAGAGGGGGCTTCCTTCCCGTTCCACTTGGCGATGGTGGAAAACACGTCATGGGCTTCGGTCGTTTTTTTCCGGATGAGCAGCCACCTCGGACTTTCTTGGACGATGCTGTAATTTTTTAACGATTTAAATAGTAGCTTCGGCAGTGTTTCGGGTACAATTGCAAGAAATAACGGGTAGTGCAGATTTTGACCTGCAAGAAATGCAAAGCGCTAGGAACCACGTCCCGCCGCTAAACTTCATACGGCGCGTGGCTAGATAGCACATATATTTCTTGCACTTTCTCCCAGTTTCTTGCACCTCGCATATCCTGTGCTGCTTGCTTTGCACTGAAAAAATAGCAAACTCGCAAGAAACGAGACACTGCCGTGGGTTCTATTTGTGGTGCGAACGTGGCAACGCGATTGCGGGGGGCGGGGGGCGAAAACCGGGAGAAGCGGGTAACTTTAAAAAATCTCGTATGAGGGACCGTTGCGTTCAGAGGACATTTTTCAGCCCCAATTTTTCGGGATTTTTTTCCCCATATTTTTCTGGGACATACATAGACAGAAATCGATCCCACGCATTGCTTATTTTTCCAATGCTGCATCGGTATGTCCTGTCCTTTTTAATTGTATAAAGCAGATCAATGCGTAAAATATATTTACCAATAACATGGCACAAGCAGCAAGGCAGGAAGGGCAGTGGCGAAAGTGAGCCATCTCCAACTCCCGATAAGATATGCCAACAGTCCCAAAAACATTTCTCCCAGTGGCCAAAAACTGATGGTTCCGCAGATTGTTCGCCACGACGGGGTCAAGAATTCCATCAGATGAGAAAGATACACGACGAAACAGGCTAAAAGGAGAAAAAATGATGTAAAAATAGTGTGACACATTGATGCCTGATAAACGTGACTCTTTGTACAGTACATTTACACAGTGGTCGCGGAAGCGTGTGGGGACAAAAGGGACAATGTCCCCAGGGTTATTTGATGATCGCCTCATTGTCTACCAAAGTTATACCAACCCGTCTTTTCTCTATCCTACAATATTAGCGTCTCCAGATGTCCCCACGGCTTCCGCGGCCACTGCATGTACAGCACATACCTCCCACACCAAGTCCAGCTAGGAATCTAAAGATCGCATAGCTCCAAGCGTTGAAGGCGAGGGCTGGCAACATTCCTAAAATTCCCATGCTCAAAGTTTGCAGGAGAAAACACTTTCTTCGTCCGTACCTACAAAATACAACGTAAATATTTTGTTGGTTGGTTCATTGTTACTCTTGACACGTGAAAAAAATTGTTGAAATTTTGTGGCTATGTTTCAACCAGTGTTTCGGGTGGAAGTGTACACTTGACGGGGAATTTTTTTGCATATTTTTTGCACTTTCTTGCACCTGTATTGCTTACGTTTCTTGCTTTGCAGACTGCAAATTGCAGTGCAAGAATTGTAGGAATAACCCGCAAGAAACGAAGCAGTGTTGTCTTATTAAAGCATAATTTTTTGGCTATGTTGCTTAATTTCTGAACGGGAACATACAAAATTGTCCGTGTTTCGGGTGAAAGTAACCACATGCATGAAATATTGGTTTCTTACAGGTACTTTGACCTGCAAGAAATGCAAGGCGCAAGAAACACGCCCCCGTCACGCATACTTCATACAGCGCGTGGCTAAATGGCGCATATTTCTTGCACTTTCTCCCAGTCACCTCGAATTTCTTGCGTTGCTTGCTTTCCACTGCAAGAAATGTAGCAAACCCGCAAGAAACGAAACACTGGTTTCAACCACAATACAAAACTCACTGATCCGAAATGATTGAAGAACCTATGGCTCCAAGCGTCATCCCAGCCATTTGAAAACTTGTGACCATGTCAGCCACCCAACTCTGACTGCAAACCAGGTTCCACTGTTGAAAAGAGGAAATGATTCCCAATATGAATGAATGATCAATAATTACAGAACGAAATTAATTCACCTCTTGAACAACGCTTGTAAAAATGACGTGATCGTCTTCATGGAGCGGGATGCAGGTAACGTTGCACAGTCCATCGGAATAAATGGAGTCTTCGTCCTTCTGGCAGTACAACGGAACTTTGTTCGACCCCGTAAAGTTGGACGACAGGACGATCATGGCGGTCGAAAATTGGGGAAAAATTAGGATAAAAGTCATCCATTTTTGATACGTTGAGTATCCACCTGATTGGATAATTGATACTTATTAGCAAATATTATTTTAACACGATTTCTTTAACCAGTGGCCGCGGAAGCGGAGGGACAGAGGGACAATGTCCCCACGGTTGTTTGATGTCCCCATCTTATTTAAACCACACCCTCCCCTACCCCAAAATGTTAATGTGCCCACAGGTTCTGCGGCCACTGATTTTTACACTAAAAACTTGCCCACTGATTCCAGAATTGTTTCAACTTTGTTGGAAGTTGTTTTTTCTGGACTTCCATTCGTAACGTGTTTTTCATCCATCGCGTTCTTCGGTTGAAATAATTTAAGTAATTTTTAAAGTTGGAGTCACTCAGGATATGTTTTCGAAAATAATTAAATAATTCCTTCTGTTTAAACTAGTATTTTCTCACGCATTAAAAAATATAATGAAATGCTTGCTGTCATTACCAAATTGACGCGTGTCCTTTCCAGCTACACGATAATGCTTTTATCAACCACCAATGTTAATTTTGCATTTATCTTTACTTTCCTGTATAAAACCAGGATACAAGAAATCTCAGGTCGACTAACTTCACAAACGCTAACGAATTATCTTAATGGCTCATTATAATGTAGACCCAACAAAATTTTGTCATGTCGTCTGATGAGACATGACAAAAGTCTACTGTTGACTGTGTGCTGTGCTTTGCATGCAATGAAACTCAGGTCATTAAATAATTACATTACATTATCTTCGGATAGACGAAACTTGCTGCATTTTAAATAATGCAGGGCAGTCAGTGAGACAATTATATTAACTACTTTAATAACTATTGTGCTATTGAGCTATGGAACACCAGGGGCCGCGGAAGCTGTGGGGACATCTGGGGACATTAACATTGTAGGATGGGGAGCGAGGGATTTATATAAGATGGAGAGATGATGTGGACATTGAACAACGGTGGGGAAATTGTCCCTCTGTCCACACCCTTCCGCGGCCACTGTATGTATTATGCATGACCGGTAATAACGAATGAGTATAGCAGTGAACTGTGCAGCATTATTTTTAATGCTAAATTGAACTTCAAAGTCAATTTACTACTTAACAGCAATTGCTGTACAACGTGTGACAATGGATTTTTAAATGATCAATAGACTTTTAAATGGATGTGACAGACAAATTGATAATAATTTACGTGACGAAGGTCGATTGACACTTGGCTTAAAAAGTTATTCAGGGCTGTATCAACTGATGGAAATCTGCATCTGCTTAAAATTGGGTCACTATATAATCTGATCTGTATATGTTACATAATGAACACTGCAATTGTCGCACAGTGGAGATTTCCTGTTCAATTTATTTCTACTGCAATTAATGTATGTACATTGAGAATTGAGAGGCACTGCACCCTTTCACTTTATTTTTTATCAAAGGATTGGCCACCAGATCAGACAATAAAATGATACTGATCTGTAAATAGGTCCAACCCATCCACAAGTCATTAATAGTTAACAATAGTTAATTTAAATGTAGTTAAGTTTCAACAAGTAAATCCTCCTCATAGTCTCCCAGAAGCGTGAGAATGTTCTCTTCTGGTCCGATTAGAAGGACATCGGACAGGAAAGAGTTCCACGTGGAGTTGATCGTTGGTCCGACAAGGTTCGAAATGGGGACGAGGGTCGCGTTGAGAGTACCAACGACGTCGGGAAATGTGCCGTTGGAAAGGTAATAAGTACCGATGCCAGCCCCCAGACTTCCTCCGGCGAGACCACCTATCGCTGCGCCAGGGGCTCCGAGAATCCCACCGATACCGCCACCAACGCCGCCTCCGAGCGCTGTGATTTTTTGGGGACATGCAAATTATTTCAGGGCTATTTGTCTGGTTATTATTAGAGTTTTAAAATTACCTCCACCAATTGCTCCACCTTGTCCTCCGGCGAGCGCACCCCCAACGCCTCCTCCTATTTATCAGCGTGTTTTATATATTTTTAAAAATTACGCGTATTACATTACATTTGAATTGGTGTTTCGTTTTTTTCGGGTTTGCTAAATTTCTTGCAGTGCAAAAGCAAGCCACGCAAGAAATGCGAGGTGCAAGAAACTGTGAGAAAGTGCAAGAAATATGCGCCATCTAAAGGCACGCGCCATATGAAGTATAGCGGCGGGGCATAGTTTCTCGCGCCTTGCATTTCTTGCAGGTCAAAATACTTGCAAGAAACCACTTTCTTGCCCTTATTTCTTGCAAGTGGTTACTTATTTGCACCCGAAACACTAATTTGAATATCTAGATTCAATTAGGACCCTGACCTAGCGCGGCAGTTGAGGCTCCAACTATTGACCCGGCGAAAGGAACAAAAGATAAGGATCCTATTCCACCTCCGACAGCGCCACCCAACGCGGCGCCAATCCCACCTCCTGCGTCGCACAGATAAACATAAAAAGAGATTTATTTCACATCATGTAACGACTTTCTGTTGTTCATTTACCAATCGCAGCGGCAACAACGTCACGCGTGGGTTGACTAATTTGCCTCCATTTTTCCGAGTTTACGGTATTATTAAGACAAGAAGACGAGTCATTCTGAGGACACCAAACCAGAATGACGAGTGGTCTCTTATTGGATATCTTCTCAATTTCTGGGGTTGGTACGGGCGTTGTTGTTGTGACGTTTAAAATTGGCACTGATACGGTACACACAATCAGACAGGATAACGCGACGAGTAAAATGTACAAAAAAATTGTGGATATTTTCATTTTTATTGGAGTGTATGTACTGATTGCTGTATGGATTTCGAGACAAAGTTATCTTAACTATGTATGCAATTAAAAGGTACTGCAGACCATCAAGTAATAAAAGAAGAGTAGAAATATTTGTGAGAGGTTCATGGCCCAAAAATTTATTCCACATCTGTCGGTAAATTATTTCAGAGCTACATATCAATATTATAGATGAATTGCTCGTAAATACAGGAATAACTAGCTGGGACATACTTAGGATTAGTTTGGAACTGCCTAAAGAAAATTGCCAAAGCCATCAAAATAATATGGAGAATTATTATTTACGGACATTATGGATGTACAAATGAGAAAAACTTTATAGTTTTCTAAATAGTGTCAAGCTTTCGATTTCGATTGCGATCGTCATCAGGACGGAAAATATTACAAATCAATTTTTATTATTCCCAGAGACTTCACTGATAATAACATGTAATGGATGCCTTTTATATAAACAATTTGGGAATAAGCATAATTATAAATTCGGAGGCATGACTCGGAATAGATTTTGTAGATTAATTTCCATCATCCAAAATGCCAAACATACAACAAAATTGTATTAATTAAGACATATGCCTACGTATCATCATCATGAGTAAATATTTGGTTTATTCAGCAGGTTATTTGACTTGCGACTTATCATCCATTCAATCCTGTAACCGAATAACACTCACCTATAAATCCATAACCCACAATTTCACGTAATCATCCTTATCACTGACACGACGAAAATACGATAAGAGAGCATGGGATCGAGCTTAGGTAATTTTACGACAGTAAATCAGCCAAGTATTTGACAGGTCCAAGTTCGGTTTAATAGGCAGTGCGTCGTCTGAACATTTTTCATATTGTTTCCAGAAATTTTGACTCGCCTCAAGAAGAGATAGTTTCGGAAATTTAAAGCCGTAGGTCTGCTAACTGATTACAAGTAATCTTACTCGATACAAAATGAAAACTTATTCAAGTCTTTATCGTCAACGCGAAATACACAACTTTCGCTTTCATCAGTGGATCCGTCCCCTTCTTCTGGAAATCGTTCGGTTTCTTCAATTCGGGTCAACATTTCTTATGCATCATTAATTCGACTTCAGAAATTTAGACCCAACTCGACAGATAGAGAGAGATACGGTTAAAAACCTAGTTTTGCCAACACCTTAATATTTGTGCATTAGTCCTACATATGCAAATTAGCAGTAATACACAACCTACGATGGACACGGAAGAAGAAAGTTTATCAGCAGAGGAAAGAGAAAGTTTCGCCTCTTCTGCGGAAGGACCTCCGCTTAAAGAATTGATAACCGAAGAGTTCGAATTGGGAGATCGCTCCGACCTGGAAATTTCCCACTGGTGGAAGACACTGACTTTGATCAGCTACTTTGTCACGGGTGTGAGCGGATTAGCCACCAGCATCGCGTTGGGAGATGTGCTAGCCGCGTTTCAAAACAGGTGCATCTTATACGCTAAAATCGGTCTGATTAATATGGACGACTTCGACGGGTACAAGCTGACGGAACAAAATATCGCCGGCGATAAGTGGGGTGACACGTATGACTGTGAATTTTGTGAGTTTGCGTCGCTATTTTCCGTGATTTTTTCGGGGATGCTGTTCGCCATGTTTTTACAGTGTGGGAGAGGAGGAATTACTTCGAAGGGGTATGTCAAAAATAATTGCGTGGGTTAACTATGATAAGTATTACGGGTCTTAACGTAGGAAGAGATAACTCATGGTCAAAATCAGCACATTTTTAATCGTTTCTCAGATCTGGGAATTTATTTGAGGACGTGAATCGAAAAACAACTTGTAAACAAATTTAAATTAATTTAAATTAGTATAGTCATGCAATTTGCACCATGGATATCAAAAAAGGTACAGAAATTTGTAATATTCAATATTAAAAAAACTCGTTTTTCATTATTTTTTGCACTTTATCGCTTATCGCTTATCAAACTTAAAATGGCCGTAAATCAAACTCTGATAATCTCCATATCCGAAAAAAAAGTTATCAATATTAACCAGAACAGAAAACGTCAATTTCGTCCAGAGACTTGGAAAGATAATGTAGCAAAACGTCGCCGTAATCGAGGTGAACCTTACGTGTCTCGCAATAACATTCCCAGGGCTGGCAAAAATGCGCCGACAATGGTATGAACTCAAGTGTTGTTTAAAGTGACATATTAATAATAAGTGCACTGTTCAGGTTAAAGTTTGCTCTGCTCGATGCCCACATAATGGTTGCGTCCTTCTCACCCTGCCAGAAAAATTGCAGCTATTCCAAGAGTATTATAATATGGGGACTTACGAATTGCAGAGAACCTATCTCTTAGGTTTGATGGATAACCTAGGCCACAACGGGAATGGGAACATATTCGAGTGAGCATGCATATAAACTGCACAATTTCATAACGAAAGACAATAATGTAACTGTTACACAGATATCACATAAAGATTGGTGGAATACGGCGAACGGTTTGCAAGAGGACGTGGCAAGATACTTTCCAAATTTCAGAGGCAGTTGTAAAATCAATGCAGGAAAAATGTGAGCGTGGTCACAACAGTGTGTTCGATGGAAGGGGACGCCATACAAACCACACAGTTAATCCAGCCGCCCTTAATGTCGCAATTATGGCGCACATTAACACATACCCAAGATATGAGCATCACTATTGCACTGCAAAGCTTGGACAATTCTACTTGTCGCCGGACCTAACTTTGGATGCTATGTTTGCCGATTTTGTTATCAAGCATCCTATGATTGCCGACGCCCACAGAAAGGAACAAGTCTATAGAAGATGTTTTCGGGATAGTAACTTGACCATTGGACACACGTACACTGATACTTGCCGAAAATGTGACATTCTTGATCTGGAACTTAAAATAGCTCGGAGAAATAATAACGTGCGTCAGATTGATGTGGCGGTGGACGCAAGGCGTGTACATCTCGATTTCGCTGCTATTGCCAGAAATCAGCTTATTCAGGACGAATTGCGAAGCCAGAATGACCCTTAATTTGTCATGATATGTGGTGATATGCAGAAGGTAACATGCCCTGTTATATCCGAAACTATGTAACATTTACTAGTTTTTGAAACATGCATACTATTGCCACAGGTTTTATTTTGCCCGACGTTGACCCACAGTGAAGTTTTCTATAAGCGACAGTTAAGCACATACAACTACTGCTTGTATCTTGGAAGAACAGGTCATGGAACAATGGCAGTTTGGAACGAATCTGTGGGAAATCGGGGAGTTGATGAGGTTTGTTCTGTTCTACTGGAGTATATAGCCACAAATTTTATTCGGCTGCAGCCTGGTCAGGAAAGGACACTTATCTTCTGGTGTGACCGATGTCGTGGCCAAACAAACAATTACCAGATACTATGTTTTTTCAAATTTCTCATTCAAGAAGGATATTTCACTGCGGCTGAACAGAAACTCGCTCCCACGGGCCACTCGTACATGCCAGCAGACCGGTTATTTGGCTTGATAGAGCAGAAAAAGAAGAACGCTTCCGTTATGGTCCCAGACGAATGGATTAATATTATCCGTTCAACCTGTCCATTTAATATACAACGAGTGACACAAATGAACATTTACAATTTCAAGGGGATGGAGGAGTTTATTCCAAGGCCAGCCAGTTTAAAAGTCAGTGAAAGTTGCTGGTTTCGGGTGACAGCAGCAAGTCCTTCATTGATTCTTACAAGAGAACATTTCGCCCCTGGATTTTGGACGGAGCACATAATAAGACAACCTCATATCAGTGGACCAATTGGTCGTCGCCCGCATTGGAACGGTCAATGTTTAGCTCCCTTTGTTCTTGTAGTTAAATACAATCATCCTATTCCTATTTCAAGAGAAAAACATGACGACCTCATGTCTATGCTCCCATTACTTATGCCAGAGTATCGCCAATTTTACAGGAATTTGCCTCGCGCATGAGGAAGTTCAAGTATTTATATTTTTTAAGCTTGTCCTTGCGTTACATACATCATTTCCACCTGTTACCTCGTAAATGTATGATTATTTAAAAAGATGCGAGTAAACTTTAAACCATGTTAAAGAAAAGTTATAATAATTTAGAGTTTCTGTACCGTATTTGATATCCATGGTGCAAATTGCATGACTACACTAAATTTAAATTTGTTTACAAGTTGTTTTTCGATTCACGTCCTCATTTTAAAATTCTGAAGGACTAATTTGTAGAGCAGGTCGTCACCAATTTGGTTAAAATGTACTCTATTTTGGAGTTTTTGAAGGAGATCTTAAGTTTAAGAAACTTTCGGAAAAATTGGAACTTATCGAAACTGCCTTAAAAAACTCTATGCTATTCTACTAATAACCCACTGACTACAAATTTGTCGTCCAGAATTTTAAAATAAATTCCCAGGCGAGAAATGATTAAAAATGTGCTCATTTTTCTTAGTGAGGAAAATACCTAACAACGAAAAAATTACTAAGTATGCAGTTACTATCGTTAAAAAAGTGTAATTTTACGATATCTTAGCCATTTCTCAACCGATTTGGATAAAATTTTGCACAGATCATTTTGAGCCAATTTAAAAAAGTTTATCGATTCGACTTAGCGAATTTTTGATTTTTACCCGAGTTATGAACAAAAATGTACCCTTAGAAACACATTTATATCTATAATTAATTACTGGCATATCGCAGCAAGAAACCAATTGCACAAAGTTTAGAGTAAATTTTTCTGCAAATTTTAAGGGTAGTATGATTAAAATCGGTTGATAAATGACAAAGTTTTTCCTATGAGAGGTGCAAAAAATGGATGAAATTTATATAATAGAAGCACCATTGACAACAAAACCTTCAAAAAACTACTAATTACAAGTATTAAATAAACAAGGTCCCAAAAAGATGGAAATCTTAGTGAGGCTTGGTGCAACTACAGATATTAAATGAATTTTCCGGAACAGCATTTGCATCACCAATCTGCAAACTTTCTATTCGGAGATTTAGTTTTATAAAATTATCAGAATATTTCTAAGAGACAAGAGAGCTATGAATAAGGAGATGTAGGAAACGTATTATCTTTGATACCAAAGATAAACTTAATTCCATCCTTTTACAGTTCCTTGGTGTATAAGCTGCTGTTGATTTCATATTTCAATCTACAATAATTTGTAAATCGTCTAGAATAAGATAGTTTGGAGAGTGGTGATGCAAATGCTGTTCCGGAAAATTCATTTAATATCTGTAGTTGCACCAAGCCTCACTAAGATTTCCATCTTTTTGGGACCTTGTTTATGATGATAAGTCATCGAGTCCTATATACGCTAATGCAAAAACTTGTCTAATTTATCAGGCTCCGGCGATCTTGGGAATTTGTCCCTCTGGCTTTACTGATAACTGCAATTTTCTTTATCATTGGGACTGTAATATTTGCCAAAACAATTGGAGGATTTGCATATTTTTGTGACTATATAGTGCGAGACTCGAACTCGCCGGGGAACATTACCAAGTTCGTTTTTAAGAATATTTGAAAATTATTAAATAATAATTTCCATAATATTATGAAAATTGATTTGAACAACATTGTTAGTTGCCCACAAGTCCTCGGATATCATTTTCCATGGGATGACCACGGAACAAATTTGTACACGGAGTACGTTTTGGCACATGTAAATATTTATAGTATTATTCTAATTAAGATCAGTGACCGTGGAAGCCGTGGGGACATATGGGGACATTGCCATTGTTGGATAGGGGAGGGAGGGGTTTGTACAAGATGTGCAGATGATGGGGACATGGAATAATAGCGAGGACATCGTCCCTCTGTCCCCCCCACGCTTCCGCGGTCACTGATTAAGACTACAATTAAAAATAAGGATGTAGTTAAACCCGACATGCAGTTAGTTAATCATTTTTTTTTACTTACTTAGGTCGGAGCAACATTAACCTTCGCAGGATGGTTTGCATCTCTCATCATTCTCATTTTCCGATGCTTACTCGGCATTGATTTTGTAGTGTATCGAAAACGTGTGTATGCAAATGTGAACAGAGTTGCAGTTTCATCATCAAAATCTCAAAGAAAAACCAAGAAAAGTGTGCGATTTCTCGTAGACTCGCAGAATAAGAAAGCATCATCATCTTCATCCCATCAACACAAAAAATCACGTCGCGATAAGAATCTTATTCGTCATGATGATGGCGACGAGTCGGATGAAACGTCTTTCACCACCTTTGATGTCACGGTTGAGACAAAAAAACTAATTTGAATGAAATACATATGGAAATTTTCAAGTTTTCAAATATTTATATTTGCAATTTGTGTATCAAAAACGTTGTGGTTTGCAATTTCGTCCCATGGTCTTCGTGGTGTGATATGTATGTATGTATAACAGATTTTGGCAGTGGCCGCGGAAGGGTGTGGACAGAGGGGCAATGTCCTCACTGTTATTCGATGTCCCCATCATCTCCCCATCTTATATAAACCCCTCCCTCCCCCATCCTACAATGGCAATGTCCCCACGGCTTCCGCGGCCACTGGATTTTGGCACATGCCATTCTACGTAAGCTGCTGCTGCTAAAATCTTTGGAAATGGAAATGTATGGGATCTGTTCCACTCCGAGATGAGACTTTTTCTACACAGTTCTAAATATATCTAACCTTATTTCAGTCAGAGTGAGATTTGCAGAACAGAATATGTAGTTCGTTTTACATAATTTTGATCAACTTTCTCATAGTTTTATAAAATTTTAATTGTGCAAGATCTTCTACAAGTGATGAGGATTTAGTTAAGTAAAGTTTTTTTTAAAAATAGACGTGATATTTTTATAAGAAAAAAAATGAAACCGTGCTGTGATCGACGAACAACGGTCGCAATGATCGCAATGATTGATATGGTAAGTTCAAAAATAATCATTAAGAACAACAACGGGAACTTATTAAAAATGAATTCTGAAAGTAGTAAAATATTGGTAAACTGAATGTTTTTTTCATTTTTTATTTAGACCTTTGGAGTCATTTTATTCGTTCTGTGCTTCCAGTCACTATTTTTCGTCCCGATTCCTGCACAATTTTCGCATATGCCTTGGAGTATGTATATGCAAATATTTGAAAATTTAAACATGCAAATATTTAAAATTATGCAAATGTGCATATACTTTCAGCTCGATTGCTACTTCTATTTCCCATAATTGTGAACACGTTTCAAATTTTGATTTCTTTCAACTTGTTGATGTCCATACGACAGGTAAGGAACGGTGGATTTTTTTGTGCTAATAGTTACCTCATTTGCATATTTTGACGCATTCTCGAGAGACATAAACTTTGAACGCCCGTATCGCCAAAAATTGGCGGAGTGAAATTTATGCAAATGAGCTGACAAGACACGCACAAAAAATTGCGCTGTACTTCTGTGGATCTTCAAATCCAGTGGCCGCGGAAGCCGTGGGGACATGTGGGGACATTAACATTGTAGAATGGGGGAGGGAGGGGTTTGCATAACATGGGGAGATGATGGGGACATCGAACAACCGTGGGGACATTGCCCCTCAGTTCCGCGGCCACTGCTTGTGATTACCGATAGTATGGATTCGAACAGTGGCCGCGGAGGACAAAGGAACAATGTCCCCACGGTTATTCGATGTCTTCATCATCTCCCCATCTTATATAAACCCCTCCATCCCCTATCCTGCAATGTTAATGTCCCCCCGTGACCCCACGACTTCCGCGGCCAATGATCACAAGTAATATTAATGTTTCAGATCGATCTGTTGATATCACTGGCCAAGACGTCGATCTGGTTGCACGGAGCATTCATAACTTTCACCTGTCTCGTGCTCAAGTTTATATTCCTGTTCTTCAATTTGTGGACAATGAGCCCTTCCGTTTTTAAAAGTGGAGACTCGAGCACCAATTTTCTCATGACTTTGACCCTGTGGGAAATGCTGACCAAGATCGTGAGCATATATTTGATTCGAAGTTATCTGGAAGAACTTAAATTGGAAGCTTATCCGCCACCGAATGTCCAATTTTATTCGGTATACATTCCTCCATCAGAGATAAGCCCGTCACCTTCGTCCCCCTTAATTTGGACGACGACCACCCCCACACCCACCAATTGTGCGCCACAAAATGAATACAAATGTTGACCAATAAACAGTGGCCGCGGAAGCTGTGGGGACATCTGGGGACATATTGACATTGTAGGATAGGGGAGGGAGGGGTTTGTATAATATGGGGAGATGATGCGGACATCGAATAACCCTGGGGACATTGTCCCTCTGTCCACACCCTTCCGCGGCCACTGATTATATAAATGGATATTTACTTAATTTAATGTGATCTGTGATTTGAAATGTAAATTATTTTAAATTTTTGTATGGCAAACTAAATTTTATGACGAGACTGGAAATCATAATTCTATTCACTCTTGTGTATTATTTAATAATGAAATGGTTTATTTAATATTATTACTGTCATAATTATTGATAACAATAATAATTAAATAATTTTTGTCATTAATTACTGCTGTACGTTACATAAATAAAAACAGATTACAAGAAGCGTTAAAAATGTTAAATTATAATATTATTAGCACTTTGATTGAACAAGTGGATGAAATCAGTCTTTTAAAAATATTTAGTCATCTTAATTTTAAAATCAGTTCACAATTAAGCCCGATGTTGATTTCAGGGAGGAATTTTCGTCACTCTCTTCGTCCATAGGAATTGTTGGGGGAGTGGGTCTTGTTTGAGCGTGGGGGTGACATATCACTGTAGTTGTGGTAGCGGTACTGGGAGGAGAATCGTCGTCTTCATCGTCATCATCGTCGTCGTCGTCATTTTCTTCTGGAATCATTAGCGCATTTTGTCGACCAGATTCTTCATCCTCGTTCGTGTTTGCCGGAACGTATACAACGTCGCGACGTTCGTAAAGGTCAAAATCTGGTCCGGTGCAACATCGCAGAATGATAATTAGGAAACCGAGGAGACATCCGATGAATTGGACGTTAGCTCCGACCTGGAACAATTTTAGGAAACGAAATTTTAAAATTTTTGCAACATGAAACTGTGTGACATTTAAAATCATGTAAAATGCATTTAATTTAGCATGTAAAATCCAGTGGCCGCGGAGGCGTGTGAACAGATGGGACAATGCTCCCCACGGTTGTTCGATGTCCCCATCATCTCCCCATCTTATATAAACCCCTCCCTCCCCCTATCCTACAATGGTAATGTCCCCACATGTCCCCACAGCTTCCGCGGACACTGCATGTATTTAAATTTCATACCAACGCAGTCCTAAATTCTTTTAAGAGATCTGTATGCTCAATATACGTCCGTAACTTGACATCCTTCGGCTTATAGGTGAAACTCAGGACGTCATTGCAACTATTTATTAATTATTCATTCATTAAATGCCATTGAAAGAAGTGTGTGTTTTTTGTAACGCTTAAAATCACCTCAAATTAGTGTCCCCAAGCTTCTCATATTTGCCATCAATTGAAAGCAACGAGTTCTCACAGAATGATTCCCATCCCGTCGACACATTGCTGAGGATGAAACATGACACGATAAAAAGTACCGTGTTTCCCAAACATGTCGGGGGCACGATTCGCCACGCGTCCGGCAAGCGAAAACTGGGTTCAATCAAAGAAATTAATTAATTCATGAGAAATATTTATCCATTACACTCAGAATGGAGATCTCCCAGCGTATGCTCTGCGATTTTGGACCAAACCAGTGTCAACCAATCACAAATTTAATTAGTATGAAATTTGCAAAAGACACGATCTCCCAATGGGCACGTTTGGCCGAGATATTTGCATCCGAAGAGGAGAAAACGCGCAGTAAATTTGGAAAGTGTAGTAAAATCTGTCAACTTTAAGGCGCGTTTTCTCCTCTTCGGATGCAAATATCTCGGCCAAACGTGCCCATTGGGAGATCGTGTCTTTTGCAAATTTCATACTAACTAAATTTGTCATCGATTGACACTAATTTGCCCAAAATCGGAGAACATACGCTGCAAAACCTCTCTTGTCGTGTACTTTGCATCAATAATTTGTCCTTACCCCCTCCTTGACGCGCCTCCCCTCCCACACTGCAAAACCATGACGATCCACACCCCACTAAAGAGAGCCAAGGCGACCGACCCATATTCCGCAAACAAACAATCATTCTTATTCCCCCACGAATTGAGCTTAAAATCCTCCAAGCTCCAGCGCCCATTATGTCCCGTGTTAATTATCAGGGTAAAATTTGCATTGAAAATACAATAGTAATCAAACGCTGCGAAGACATTTCCCACCCCGATCGAAGTCATTATACCGCCAACGAGCACGCTAAAGTAGAAAATCACTGGAAGATATACCCACCCGTGCGAAATGGACCGCGAAGTTATCGCCCTCAACTCAAAGTTGCGTCGAATCACTTTTTTCTCCCCGAATAACTCGGGGTCCTTAGATTTTACGAAGGACGACTCTCCCCCACCCCCCTTTTTTGATAAGGGAGAGGAACCCCTTGATTTTTTTGACGTCGAAGGAGTACTATCCATCTCGATGTATTCTTTCATAGGGGATAATCTGTCAAGGGATTGAGGACGACGGGGTCGTAAAAATTATGTAAAAAAGACACACATGACTTGATTAAAAAAGTGGCAAAAGGTTGTAATTAAGACTTCATTCTTTCTCTGGAGTTTGAATGACTGCTTCGTTATTAAGGTGACCTTACGAACGAATGTTTATTAAATATGGGGATGTATAGCACTACAGTTGTGGGGTTGTTATTTAAGGAGATATGTAAATGACTTGTGGGTATGTATTTTGGTACTAAATCCATCCATATGACTGGTCTGGTTAGTCGAATTATTACCAGATATGACTTAACTCTTCCCTAACTACTACGTCTCCCATAGGCAACTACTAAACAAGCTTTTTTTATGAATGTTCAACACGTAATGGAATGAACGCTGGGTCATACATGCATATATTTCGTGTCTGGATGCATATGTATACTAGGTATGGTAAATATTAGAAGAAGAGTTAAGTCAAGGCTAATAATAATGCTCATTGGTAAATGTAACGTGGATGTGTAATGGATATGAAAATGCTGGACTTTTTTTCATGGCTTGGCTTCACCACAAATGTCTCGAACCCACGAACTCAAAGTATAATTTACACGTTGGAGATTTGCCAGACATCCGTGAACGAATAGAGAGTTGGAGATTCCTTGTACTCTGACTGTAGACTGTACTGTGGACTCTAGATGATGACGTCATCAGCTTTTTGTACTAATTCTACAGTCTACAGTAGACAAATTGAAACACGGGCTCAATTTGTACTACTGTGGAAAAATCAAGGGTTGGCAACTAGGATATCTCTAGAACGCCTCAATGTAATCAGACGCCGTTTTCGCCATTTTGCTTCTAATTTTTGACCCTAGGTCGAGTTCGAAGATGGGCTCCCTGTGGTCAAGGTCAAGGTCACCCTGGCGTGAAGTAAACGCAAAATTGTACCTTAATTTTCATATGCGGTATCATTTTAAAGGAAATTTCACCAAGAATTTATAGTCGTCAATACTTTTGACCTACGACCAACCAATGACCGAAAGGACGAGGTCAAAGGTCGCAATTTAAGTGTCGACTGTTTTAGACGTGTATTAAGGCGAGAATTTAAGAAATCTGCATAGCTTTAACGTATGAAGACCCCGTGACCATGTTCACGAGGTCAAAGGTCAAAAATGTTAATATTTTATTTCAACCGTTGCAGACGTAGTTCACTTTGAAGCGAGGAGTTCAGAAATTACTATCATTTCGGCTTATATCAGCCTGGTGACCGTTTTAATCGAGGTCAAGGGTAAAAAATTTCGACTTTTTGGTTTGATCGTTTTAAACGCACATGTTGGAGGGATTCTCATTTTGTATATCATGAGTTGATTTGTCTCAATTTTTGACTCATCTATTTCGCGGAGTTTTACAATACAATTTTTTCAGAGTACAAAATAATGAAATTCTCCATGTCTTTTGATTTTTGTACTAATTTTTGTATTGTACTGTAGTCACAGTACAGTACAAGTAAAAGTACAAAAAATCTCCAACTCTCTAATGATGAATTAGAGTATTCTGTATCTGAATTGTAGAAAATTTCCACTAGAAATATTGTTAACTTTTGGGCAACATTTTCAAAATAATTTACTCAATTAAAATTAAGTGAAGTATGTATGATAAATATGTAAATGAGTGTGCATTGACATGGTGGAGAAATAAATTGAAACTTTAAAATGAAGGGCACGCTCAATCTCGGAGGGATAACAGTTTGCCAAAATTTTCCATGCAGGTTTTCAGACGGGACAAATTTTGCTGAAATTCTTCACAATTAGCTACCAGAATTTTAGAAATTCTTATGTAGCACTATGAAAATAATTTATTAAATTAAAATTAATTATGATAAATATGCAATGAACCTGCATTGTAAGGGAGGGGGGGGGGAAATAGATCGAAGTTTTTTTATAAATCAAGACATCATTGGTACGCTTAATCTCAATCTCGGTGGGATAACATTTTGCCTAAATTTTCCATGCAGATTTCCAGACGGGAAAAAATTTTGCGATAAATATGCTGAAATTCCCCACATTTGCGAATTATGAATTGTTATCAGAATTTTAGAAATTCTTATGTAGCACTCTCAAAATAATTTATTAAATTAAAATTAGTATGCAATGAACCTGCATTGACATGGGGTACAAAGAAAATCAAAATTTTTAAATCAAGCCATCATAGGCACGCTTAATCTCGGAGGGATCACATTCTGCCTAAATTTTCCATGCAGGTTTCCAGATGGGACAAATTTTGCAATAACGACGCTGAAATTCCCCACCGTGGCGGCACCGATTCCCACCCCGGTCGACGACTTCCAAACGAGCTGGGTGAAATTCAAGCAGCTCGTGTCATAGTGGGGGTGGGTGTAGTCGTACGAAGCGGATTCGTTGTACCACCGCTGAACGACCAAGTTTGCGGAGGGTCGTCCCCCCTTGATGCCGAAGTAGTTGACACCTTCCATGTCTTCAGGGTCTGGTTCACTCACGTCACGAGCCATTTGAAGGGCCAAGGTTTCCGCGATGTCGTTCAACTACATAAAATGGAAATAAAGATATTATTTTTTAATGGATTTATGTAAATAAATAAATAAATGGATATGTATTACTAATAGAGGGCGGATATGTATTTATTTTCTACTTTTTCATTTGATGACGACAGAGGGTCAGAGAACATTCCCTAACTCGCATAGATAACTAAAATTTCGAAATATTTTTGCATATACATATCTAGGTTTTCAGACATGTGTATAAATATTTCAGCTATTATTTGAAAAATACGTAAATATTTTAGATATTTTTTTCCAAAATACATATATTTGGAAAATATTTCAACGATAGGTTTCAACGAAACTTTTTGCTCAAAGAAACTCGACCACCAAAAATACAACGCATTATATTCAGAAATTGCGAAAATTTTATATTTTGATGGTTTCCGTAAATATTTTGGCGTTTTTCTTGAAAATACAAACACAAATTTAAGAAATTTTTCGTATATAAATATCCACCCTTTGATTATTAAATAATAAGACGTTAGATTAAAGTTTGGTAAAATAAAATTTGCATACCGTTCTATTCCACTTGAGCGAAGGTGAGACATGTTTCGACCGAAAATTGTTAATAACATTATACACTTTTAAGTAGTAACCGGTATCCCCTACGGCTACGGTGGGTGGATTAGCGGTTATCCGTCCAGCGGAAATTAGCACAAGGAAGGTGAAAATGCATAGAAGTGGGATGAATATAGTGGAAGGTCTGAGATTCATTTTCCAAGTTTGAACAGTTATTTTATGCACAAGTTAATTTAATTTAATTTGTTTTCTGTTCAATGACGCTCTTTTGCAAAATGACGACGTGAAGCGTTCCAGTTAAAAGTGCAATATTGATTACTTAATATCTGCAAAATCAACAGATTACAATGCTGTTTCCTTGAATTCTTAAAAATAAGTGATTCACCAAGATGCATGGTTGGTTAACTAAAAAATTGGTGTGTCAGTTCACAAGATCATCTATTTTTAGAGTGATAAATATATAACTGTATGTATACGTGCCCCGTATATTTATGAATGTTGAATTGATTCCAGTCCAACCAAACCACGACCATGGATTCATGCTGGACAATCTTCGCCTTCTTCTTATTCCTTCCTATTCTTCATGAAATGAAGAGGTTTTTCATACCCGGTGTGATCCGGTTAATGAGATAATTTACTGGAGATCACATTCTCATGCATGAGAAAGAAGGGTGCAAAGCACTAATTTTATTCGGGTACATACATATTTATTAAAGCTAATTATAATAAACTGCGACTTCTCCACCAATTCCACACGGACTAAATTACGGACGGAATTAATTTTACTGCAATTTAATACAATTTAACAATGCCATCCAATTTGCAATCAAGTTCAAGTCTGCTTAACTGTCCAATTGGCCAATAAGTGGTGTGTTGTATAATTTATTAATTGTATGCAAGCTCAAGTCCCATTTTGACATTGAGCACCTATTTAAGGATGAAATTAAAGCGTTGTTTTTTGTGACGCTTTAATTTGACTCTGTAAGCCCGAGATTTGGTTCATCCAACTAGATTAAACTTGCGTATACTAATTATTTCTAAGAATGGAGGTCTCCCAGCGTATGCTCTCGGATTTTGGGCAAATTAGTGTCAATCGATGGTAAATGTAATTAGGATGAAATTTGCGAAAGACACGATCTCCCAATGGGCACGTTTGGCAGAGATATTTGCATCCGAAGAGGAGTTGTAAGTACTGGATTTTTACATGTATGTAAATAATTAATTAATCTTTGGGCTCGTGTTCTTCATTCGTCACGGATTCCGTATCGGATGGGTTCTTTGATGAGATGTTGTTATCCAGTAATTTTCCTCGCATGCTAAAATATTCCAGAGGACTTGGCTCTTCTTCCACGATTGAACTCATAGCGTCACCTCTGTAAATAACGATTTTTTGTTAATTTTTAGTGGTAGCATATATGTACACATGTAATTACTATTCAGCCAATAAAAATTGTCTCAATTCTTTGGACAATTATCTGCGACGCTGTTTGGTTTTAATCTGGTATTGATTTAATAAAATCAAAATAAAAAAAATCCTCTAAATGGCGTGGAAGTTATTAAGAAAATAATTTGCCAGGAAACCTTTCAGAGTTTTTTGAGACTATTAATATTGGCTGAGCATGTTAATCAGTGCCCGTGGAAGCCGTGGGGACATCTGGATACATTGTAGGATAGGGAAAGGTGTTTGTATAACATGGACAAATGATGGGGACGGACATCAAATAACCGTGGGGACATTGTCCCTCTGTCCCCTCAAGCTTCCGCGGCCACTGATATTAATCATAAAAAATTTACATACTCAGAATTGTCCTCATTGATGGAGATGGTCTGTCCCGAAATAATAATTCGAGGATGTCCAACCACCGTGGCACCAGCAGCAGCAGCGGAAACAGATTTAATCTGAGGTCGTGGACTTTTCGGCGTTCCGCGACCACTCGCTACACCGCGACGCATGGACGAAAATATTTCCGAGATGCGGCTCTCCAATATGTTCAAGTACAGGACAGAATTCTGAGAGGATACTTCTTGCTGGTTGCCTGTGTTTATTTATGGACAAATTTAGTTAAGGTACAAAAAATGAGTCTGGATTGGATATGCATGATTAAGCACCAATCAGTTCGAGGACAGGTTTTGCGTCTTCAAAATCCGTAATGTAGAACATTCTTTCAATCAGTTTTAGAATTTCGTCCATGAATTCTTTATACGAAGTGACGAGCATTTCAATGGAATCGTATTCATCTTTTAGTAGTTCCAGTTCTTCCTGTCAAGAAGAATGTCAATGTCGTGTGAAAGACGTTTTTGTACGTGCTTAGGATGGAGGTCTCCCAGCGGGTGCGCTCCGATTTTGACAAAATTAGTGTGAATCGATGACAAATTTATTTAGTATGGAATTTGCAAAAGACACGATCTCCCAAATGGGAACGTTTGGCAGAGATATTTGCATCCGAAAAGGAGAAAATGGCCCGCAAAGTTGACAAATTTTACACTTTACTGCGCGTTTTCTCCTCTTCGGATGCAAATATCTCGGCGAAACGTGCCCATTGGGAGATCTTTCGGAAATGTCATACTAATAAATTTGTCACCGATTGACACTAATTTTGTCAAAATCGGAGAGCAACCGCTGAGAGACCTCCATCATAAGTATTCTACTATTTTTACACGCATTACTACCTGCTTTTTATTGATTTCTGCTGTTTTTTCATGATTTCTTTCCACCGTTTCAACAGCACTTTGTTTTATCTCATCCCTCAAATTCTCCACATCCGCTTGCAGTACTTCAAGCTAGAATGAAAACATATCTATGTAACAGTGTCCTCTCAATATTAATTCTTCTATGTTTTTACATACATCATTATTCAGTTCGTTAATGTAGTTGAACCGATTAATATTATTGTTCCAGAGTGTCGAGTACTCTTCAACTAACGCCATTAATCTGGGCGACTCTTTTGTGAGAAGTTTGTTCAAATTCTCCTGATATGATTCCATCGCATCGTCGATCGTTTGTTCTTTGGCGGATTCAAGCCGACCTAAAATAAGATCAGAAGGACATTTTAAATAGTTCCATGCAAAGTTTAGGTATGCAGCGTCAGCGGAAGCTGGGAGGGGGACACGTGGGGACATTAGCATTGTGGGGTTGGAGAAGAAGGGACTTCTTAACATTGGAACATACCTGTTCACCTTCATTCATTTGACTGATTATGATGGTGAATGATGGTGAATGAAAATGAATTTCCTGCTATTTGAATGAAAATGACTATGAATGAAAGGTTTTTTTTCACTCATTTCATTTTTCACCCTATGCTTAATACATGTGACGAAGTAATAAGAACTGAAGTCAGATGAAGTGAAATGAAATGAATTTGAACGAAAATGGTGAATGAAAATCTTCAGTCAGAAATCTGGATGACTTTTGAATAAAAACTAAATTTTTGAACAGGTATGCATGGGAAAGATACGATTTTGCTCAATTTCTGGGTGCCGTCCCCATGTCCCCCTGCTTCCGCCGCCACTGAACGTATGCATTTAATACTCAAGCGCTCATCATCCGTTTCCAGAAAGATTCTGTCTTGGTTTTTTGTCGACATGAAATCCAGCAATTTCTCCTCGTGACGAATCAATCGTTTCAGTTCACCGATTTCGAGGACGTATTGTTTCTTTTCTTTTTCGTTGCGTTCAAATAAAACATTTGCTTTTGCAACGGCTTCCTCCCTAGAAAATAGAACGCCAGTAAAGAAAAAAAACATTTTATGGAGTAAACCTCAATTTATTTGTATATGTACCTTTGGTCATACGCACTGGTAGCTTGGTCAACTAAATCGTCTATCGTGGCCTTATTTTTGTTGGAAATCTCTTCAATTTCTTTGTTACGTTTCATCACTCGGACATTCTCTTTTAAAATTTGGTCAATATGCGTCCTCAGCTCGGCGTTTTCTGCTACGATGGAGTCAAATTGGCTCGTAACCTTGATAAATGATGCTTATAATTTATACTTAACATAATTTTAACGTAGGACTCATCTCCAAAATTGTTACATTTTTAATTATTTTTCGGCTCTGGGAATTTATTTTAAAATTCTGGACGACAAATCTGCAGTCAGTGAGTTGATTAATGAAATCGTGGTGTGTTTTTTGAGCCAGTTTCTACGAGTTCCAATTTTTCTGTAGGCTTCTTAAACTTGAGATCTCCTCCTTCAAAAAGTGTCAAAATCTGGAGTATATATTTTTAAAAAATTGGTAACGACCTGCTCTACAAATTTGTCGTTCAGAATTTTAAAATAAATTTCCAGAGCCGAGAAATGCTTAAAAATGTGGTGATTCATCGATTCCTAAGTTAACCTTAATTTTTTAGGATTTCTGTTTACCGTCTCTAATTTCTTTTTGGCGTTAAACTCTTTAGTTTCAACTTCCTTGTTGGAAAACTCCATACTTTTTCCAGCAGCTAAATTAGCAGCTTCAACTTTGGAGTGAAGTTTGGCTAAACGAGCTGAAGCGAAGGATAATTGTTTGTCGACTTCATGAACTGTTTTTGTGCCGGTTCTAACTTCCTTATCCAAAGTTAAATATTGGTCGACCAAGGTGAGAATTTTGGTGAGATTGTCACCTTCAATTGTCTCATTTCGCTTGATTTTTTGAGCCTCGATCTCTGCCTCAATTTTGCGATTTTCCTCTTCCAGAGCTCGGATAGTTTTCCTGGGGGGGAAAAATATTATTAAAGGAGTCATGCGCATTATCTGCTATGAAAAGTGGCCGCGGATCCTGTGGGGACATCGGGGGACATCAACATTGTAGAATGGGGGAGAGAAGAGTTTATGTAACATATGAAGACGATGCGAACATCCGTGGGGACACTGTTCTTCTGTCCCCAGGGGCTTCCGCGGCCACAGATTACAAAGATATCGTTGTGCAAACAGTGGCCGCGGAAGCGTGGGGACAGGACAATGTCTCCACGGGTATTTGATGTCCCCATGTCATATAAACCCGTCCCCTACAATGTTAATGTCCCCAGATGTATGTCCCTACGGTTTCCGCGGCCACTGTTTGCTTGCGTTGCGTACCGCTGCTGATTAATGGCCGCGTTGGATTCTTCCAAGTACGCCTTTTTATCATTTTCCATTAAACGAAGTTGTCTGGAAAGTCGATTTAACTCATCGCGAGCCAATTGCTCTGTATTATCTTCAACCTCGGTGGTTGTCGTTTCCGGTTTTTTGTTAACCATAATTATGAACGAGTGCTGCGTAACTTTTTGATTAAGGTTTAATCAAGTTCTCTCAACTATTTTTGACGTGACTTGTGTTGACACTAGTGTAATCGATAAAAGTGTGTATCTGACTATTGCCTGGATCAACAAATTAGGCTTTGCTGAGGTGATGATATGATACAATATTGATCAAACATGTTTAGAAATGAATTTTTAGCCGGAGTCAGGGTTTATGTACCCGTCGTGGATGTCTGTCTGTCTGTCGATTACGGTCGTATATATGTATGTAAAACTTGCCCAATCGGGTTACAATTTTGCACGCACGTACATAATTGCAAAAAATATGCAATATGCAAAATTGAGAATAAAGTTGGAAGATGTGATTGAGATAGTTTCGTATTGTACATTTACTGTTTTGTTTTTCATGCAATTAAAAGTTACAATTGTAAAGATTTGTAAATTTAGATTTAGGCCGTTCTCTCTCTCTCCCATTCTTACGGACCTTTTCTGCGATTTTCTGCGTTTCTTTAAGTTAGGGACCTTTCTTGTGCGACTCTTGCGTAGTCAGCTTTTTGCGATACTTTGTGATTATTTTCGTACCAACTCTGCGAACACAGCTTATACTCTGATCAATAAAAACAAAAAATCCCTTCAAGTATTTCAAAAAAAGTAATCAATAAAGAAGTTGTAAATTTAATTTTGGTTCGAAATTTCCGGACAAAATTCAGCAAGTTCCAGCCCTTGTCATGGTCAAAGCTGTAAATTTTTGCGTGAATCAGTTAGTAAACCCTTACAGATTACATAGTAATATAGCAAAATTTCTTAAATAAGGGATGATTATCTTACTTGGATCAAGAATTTGAGCATTTTCAAATTCGCACTGATTGCTATAGGTTTGACCATTGCTGGAACAAACAGGTTTGTATTCACGCGTGCAATCCTTGGGTTTCATGGCGTCCATCTGCAAGCAATTAAGACGTCATCATCATCAACATTATGTGAACAACAGGAAGTTATGTAGTTACACAACTGTGATTAATGGAATGATTGTTTACAGTGGCCGCGGAAGCTGTGGGGACATCTGGGGACATTGCCATTGTAGGATGGGGGAGGGAAGGGTTTGCATAAGATGGGGAGATGATGCGAACATCGAATAATCGTGGGGGGCACATTGTTCCTCTGTCCCCACACTTCCACGGCCACTGATTATGTATATAATTATATATGTACTTACGGATGGACATGGTGCAGGGATTTTCTCCCCAGTTTGGACTCCAGGACCTGTGACGGGAGTGGATTGTTGGGCAGTAGTTGAACTTGGTCCGCCGAGCGGTGGGGTTGGCGTTGATGACGCAGATTTATTTGCTAACTTATCTTGAGTATTTTCGTTCGCCTGCACGGCCGCGATGATTCCCACGATCAACAAGATTTGTGCACACTTCATTTTTTGTTTGTTTTTTAAAGGAATTTTAAATAATTTGAAGTTCTAATGCGAAATGATGCATGTACTGGATTAATGGCGACGGCAGGCAGAAAGCTTTTATACCAATTTTTCACTAAATGGTGAATTATGTATGCAGCATGTCTCAAAATATTGTGTATCCTGGATAATCAAATTATCTCATTCCTGCTAATTGAAATGTCCTCTGTGGATGATATTTCTCACAGATTTTGGCACCGCATTGTCAGTTCTCTTGAACATTCCATGTTTGATTTAGTTTACGCATTGATTTTTAGCTGATGAGTCATTTTTTCATTCACATTTAAAAAAATTAGACGTTATGTTCCTTTTACTGCATAATTTTAACATTTAATATTAATTAGATAGATACATACTTGTTTTTTCCATTTGCGCCCCCACTATCTTGCAAATCAGGAATAAACCAAGACGGTGGATGATTGTGTAATGCAAATCTTGTTCTCTGCGTGATAAATACGGCATACGCAGTGGCCGCGGAAGCCGTGGGGACCTATGGGGACATTAATACTGTAGGATTAGGGGAGCGAGGGGTTCATACAACATGGGGAGATGACGGGGACATCGAATAATGGTGGGGACATTGTCCCTCTGTTCCCACGCTTCCGTGGCCACTGTACATAGATACGTACTCAGAAAAACTTGAGATTGTGCACGTAAATATTTGCCTGGAAGTAGTGCACTCGTTACATATAACACTTTTGTCTGACAAAACATGACGTTATTCGCAAATAAGTAACCTCCAGGTATCATCATTCCTCACAGGAAAAATGGTTCTCATACCTGTGCATGTACATAAGTGAACAGTGGCCGCGGAAGGGTGTGGACAGAGGGACACTGTCCCCACGGTTATTCGATGTCCCCATCATCCACCCATCTTATATAAACCCCTCTTTCCCCTATTCTACAATGTTAATGTCCCCACAGCTTCCGCGGCCACTGCATGAGCGAAGGATGTTCAATCTCATATTCTCTAGTGTCGAGTCAGTTTCTTCTCTGCCTGCGCTGCCAACCTGAACAATTATAATACTTGCAAAAGTTCCGAGAAGAGATGGGATCTTGCTAATGGAAACTGAAGCTGTATGGACATTGAATGAATAAATAGCAGCACACAGGACAGGACTGAGCACATCATTTGCTTGACTCGACGACGCGTTGAATTTTGAAAACATTTTAGCAGAGAGCGAAGTAGAACTAATACTTATTTACGACTACTGGTGCACTTTTTGCGTCGTTATCCTCGCCTGTATTTCATTATCGTTGAAACAGCAAGGTCGCAAAAATGAAGATGGCTTCGCACAGAGATTTGACAGTTTTAGCAGCAATTACCACCTTGGCTGTGCTCGCAGTGGTGACAAAAGGTAATGATTAAGTGGTTAATAATAGAAAGATTGATTTGGTAATTAATTATTATATAAGTTAGGAAACTTTGCTAATTAATCAAGTATTTTTTTTGTGTGTGAAATGAAGCCGAGACAAATTTTGCAAGTTCGTCCATCGCCTCGGATGGAAGTGGGACACGGTCGTCTCAATTTGTTGGGACGATTCCGAACGGTGGTGGGGGCATTGGGACGAGGATTTCAAGTCCAGGGGGTGGGGGAAGTGGGATCACTGTAGTCTCGGGGTCAGGACCAGGTCAGTTGTCACATCCCGGGTAGAAATCACTGCGTCGAATTCTGCAGTGATCAACAAAAGCTGGATGCATATTGCATCTCGTATATTTGTGTACGTAATCCTACAGAAAAGTTGGATAGGTTTTATTCTGCAGAATTTGCAAAAATTTGCAAAAAATTACAGTTTTTTCCACAAATCGCTCTGTACAAATTTTTTTTTAATCGGGGCTTTCTCCACAAATCACTCTGCATTAAGTTTTTCTGCAGAAAATCGAGCAAAAATTCTACCGAAAATTAAACCATTCAAATTTTTTGGCAAAATTGTTCCTTCAAAATGAATTTATTTATCACAGGTAACGGTCAAGGGGGCGCAGTTTTCACCGGAAGTTCGAGCAATGGAGGCGGCGGGGGCGGAGGAGGAGGAACCGTGGGCATTTTCAGCCGGACAGGACCTTCCGGAACTCAACATACCGTGATTGGTCCTTCCGGAACGCGCGTCTATAACCAACCCCCCACCGGAAGATTCGGTGGTAGTGGTTCTTCCTCTTCTTCTTCTTCCGGCCCCGACTACACGTACCCAATGCGACAAGGTTATTACAATGACTTTTATGACTACTACAATAGCGATGGTGGGAACGGTGGCTACTACAATTATCCTCCTCCCGCCGTCGCGGTTGCAGGACCCTTTGGCGCGGGGGCGAGTGCCGGTGGCGTGGGGACCTTTGCAGGGACTGGGTCACGTGGTGGTGGTTCGGGAGCATTTGCGGGTGCGGGGTCTCCAGATTATTTTGGGTAGATTAGTACTTATCTCCTCGTCTTGTTATGTACACAACATTTTAAAGATTTTGAAAACGAAATAAAATTTTACTGACAAAAGATCTAAAAGGAAATTATCACTTTGTTTTTTTATAAGATAAGAAACAGAAAATAACAAATAAATAACTGATGATTAGTGTTAATTAAATGCAGTGTGTAAATAACTTGTATAACATGGATATGAACTTGTATGTGTCATAAGTCCTTCACATTGACCATGGGTTTTCCGAAGGTCCTAACAAATTAAATGCCTTGACCATCACCATGAGCGGATATTTAGGTACTACCTACATATGTAGCTGTTACTACCGACTTATTTATTACCAATTTGGTGACACAGCGTTGCGTGAAGCTTTACCTATGTACACGTGCATACTTATTAAAATTTTGTAGGAATTCTGATGACTCCAAAATTTTAAAGGGTCACCTGCCAATTATTCTTAATAATTACATTACCGGTATCATATCGTTTTAATGGAAAGTGATTATTTTACATACACGCGTGAAATTACCAAGAACTCTAACAAACCAAAAAAGAGAAACAATGCAACAAGTATTTTGGACCCTGCACAAAAAAATATCTAGTTCATATCTAGTTCAAAAAAATATCATGAAAGGTGATTCACTTTTCGCACATGCATTGTCATGTGTGCCTTCTGCACTTATTTGCGAATTATTTACTAAATATAATGGTATTCCAGGAATATAAAATTTTACCTAAATTTAAAGTGAATCATGTTTCAGGACAATTAATGATGATGTCATAAAGTCAGGATGGGATGGTTCTTGGTTTTGTTATACAAAATGTTGTTGGGTACAAAAGCTAGTTTCAGATATTTATTGTTATGAGGTACCGCGTATCCAATAATAATCATTGTACTAATTAGTTTCGCTTGCTAATTTAAAGTGTAAAGCTGCACCAACACCCAGTACCCAGACCGAAAAGACAAAGAAATTCCTTATGCCCAGAGAGACCAACAATCTGCTGCTCCTGACGTAAGAGAAGAAGCTTCTTGTGAATACCCAGAACTTCTTGAGAAGCAACATGCGATTGTATTTGCCGTACTCCATTATGCAAATGACCATTGATGGATGTGTCATTAGAGTTTGAGAGATCGGATAATTCGCATATAAAAATGGTTATAAAGGTGCATAATGAGATGTACTTTGCTCACTCGCAGATCTGCAGATTTCTGAGCATTATCATTTTAGCGAACAATTATAAGAATTGGGAGAGAGTGATTGGCATTCCTGGATAAGTCTTGTTTGGACAAGGTTGAGAAAAATGTTCTCCAAAGGAGGTGCGGTGGTTTTGACCGTTCTGGTTATTAGTTTAACGGTCTCTCTAACACAAGGTAAAAATATTTACATGAAATTTTAATAATTCGGTGAAATAGAAATTTTAGTGGAAAAAAATATGGGAAAAGTTTATGTAATTTTCAATATATTGAATGATATTTGGCATTCAAGGCGTGCATAGAAAAAACGAAAAAATTTCTATGAAATTGTATACCCAGTTATTCAGAGTAAATTTATATTCCAATTTTTAAATAATTACAGGAGCTCCAAAGCCTCAAAGTTCATCTTCCGCGGCTGCTGCAGCCGCCTCCGGTGGCGGTGGTGGGGGCAGTTCATCGGCCAGTTCTTCCGCGGCAGCTTCCGGAGGTGGGGGTGGTTCTTCATCTGCCGCGGCATCCGCTGCAGCTGCGTCGAATGGTGGTGGTGGCGGATTTGGAGGAGGTAGGCGTCCCGGAGGCGGTGGTGGAGGGCCGTGGGGTGGACGACCAGGGGGTGGATTTGGACAGAGTGGACCAGGATTTGGAGGCAGTGGATTTGGGGGAGGTCCGTACGGAGGCTTTTATGGGGGACGAGGAGGTGGATTTGGTGGAGGATTTGGGGGAGGTCCATGGGGTTAAATTATGCATAATTAGATGCATGGCTCTCTCTGATGAGCTGTAAATAAATCTGAGACTGTTCACAAAGAATTTCGTGGTTTGCTTATTTTCAGAAATTTATTAAACATTAAATGCAATGCATATCATAAAATTGGGACACATTGTTCGTCAACTAGTACATAAATATTTTCATGGTTTGCTTAATAAATTTGTACTGGCAGAAATTTATTGAATATAAGATGCAATGCACCTACATAACTAAAGATGACAATGGAATAAATTGTTAATCAGCCAGTACATGCATAATTATATTTTGAATTAGTAGCCAGAATTTTGTCCACTGAGAATTGGTGGTGGTCCAAAGTTTTGATTTAAAGTTCCTCCAGCAGATCCAGAATCGATAGCGGCATAACCCGCGCCAAGACTTCCACCACTGTTTGCAGATGATCCATAACCGTAATTACCCGCATTCGGGTAACGATTTCCGGTGTAGCTTCCAGTTCCTGTTCCATATCCACTGCTTCCGGTTCCCACGTATCCACCTTGACCACCACTCGGATACCGGTTTGACCCTGTCTCGGAAGGATATCTTCCTCCTCCTGAACCGGTGCTGCTCCCCACGGGTGGGTAAACTTTGCAGTCAAACACGATTTCTGATAACCTTGAGACCTGACTAAATGCCGCCGGACTCAGTTCCATAACCCTTCCATCGGCCAATGGACCTTCACCAACGATCCGAACGACGACAGATTTGTTGGTGACGTCGTTACGCACCGTGACAAAGCTGCCTTGTGGGAAGGTGCGGTGAAACCCGATCAAGTCGTCGGAATCGTAACTCGAAAAGTATAAGTTGTTCCGGTCCCAATGGGAACATTCACCTTCTGCAAATAATTTATGCAAATAAAAAATTATTAATTTGAATAATATTAGAGGTAGCTCCTAGCGGATGCTCTCCGATTTTGACCAAATTAGTGTCAATTAAGCAGAAATTTGATTAGTATGAACTTTGCAAAAGTCACGATCTCCCAATGGGCACGTTTTGCAGAGATGTTTGCATCCGAAGAGGAGAAAACGCGCAGTAAATTTGGAAAGTTTAAAATTTGTCAACTTTATGACGCGTTTTCTCCTCTTCGGATGCAAATATCTCCACAAGTCGCGTCTTTTGGGAGATCGCGTCTTTCGCAAATTTCATACTAGTTAGATTTGTGATCGATTAAAACTAGCTTGCTCAAAATCGGAGAGCATATGCTGGGAGACCTCCAGTGTTATTTAGTAACTGCGAACATCACCTTCCGGCCGTGGACCACGATTTTGATTGCCACCAAATATGTTCCAAATTGGAATGCTGTAAATTGACGGGACGACGAGGCAAATTAAAATACAAAATTTTGAAAGATGTGACTGATGCATTGTGAAGTTTGGAAAGTCAAGTGACACCGGTAGTAAAGTAACCTTGTCAAACGTTTTGTGATGAATGGAACGATATGGTTATTTGTCACATCTTTTTGAAGGGTACAACAGAGACTGAAGGGTACAACAACGACTTGTCCACTTTATGATATTATTTCTACATTGTTTTCTCTTGTTGAAGGGATTGTGAGACCCGTAATGCATGCAGATCTCATTCTGTATTTAATATGGGTCAGAGAAACCGATCTCAAGTGAAGATCTTGGCCAAGGACTTTTCTCACAATATTCGTAAACCTTTCGTGTCTTATGTCCAGTTGAACTTGGCCAACCCTGACCTACATTCTGCATGCATCATAAACCCACTTTCTCAGGTAACACTACATAAATCTACGAGATTATACAGGAAAAAGGCACGTTCTACAGAATATAGGTATTTCATTTTTTCACGTAATTACACGATTTTATTTAACATTTGGCATATTCTTCCAAGAGAAATATTTAGCAGTAGGATTAAATACAAGATCCCCACTTCCGGAGATATAAACCTGTAAAAGCATACTTAATTTTATTACGTCGTTTTTGAATTAGTTTATAATAAGGAAATTCGCACAGTTCTTTCTTGGTAACTTTGTAAAATCCGTAAATTCTTTAAGCTTACAAACTTTTATAAATGTTTTGTAGGAAAATTAGCTTCTGTAAACTTATTTAGATGAAGGGCGTCCTTTACTTCGTAAAAGTTTGTAAAATTATTAAGTAGCGTCAGCTACTTATTGTGATCACTTTGTCCGTCTGTCCGTCCGTAAGCAGGATATCTCTCGAATGCCTCAACATAATCAAAAGCGGTTTTCGCCATTGTGCTTCTAATTTTTAGTTCTCGGTCGATTTCGAAAATGGGGTCAATCGGACCACCCCCACTGCGTCAGGGGGTGTGGTCCAAAATTAAATTCACGTTAATTTTCATATGGGGTATCATTCTAAAGGAAATTTCGCCACGAATTCAATGACGCCAATATTTTTGACCTTTGACCTCGTCGCCAAGGTCATGAGGTCAAAAAACACTTAATTTTCATATGGGGTGTCATTTTAAAGGAAATTTCACCACGAATTCAATGGCGTCAAAATTTTTGACCTCGTGACCTTAAGGACGAGGTCAAAGGTCAAAAAATTCATAATTGTCATATGGGGTGTCATTTTGAAGGAAATTTGGCTGCGATTTCAAGGAGATCAATATTTTTGACCTCATGATCTTCAGAACGAGGTCAAGTCAAAAATCGGAATTGTCAAAGATGATCTAATTTTAAAGGACATTTCGATCATTCTGACGCTACTTTTTTATATTCGTTTGTAAGGGTTTATTTTAAAAAGCTTACAGATTTTACAAGTTACCAAAAACTGCGTGAATATTTTACTTACGTGGATTCCGTTTCTGAGCACACTCAAAGTAGCAGCCATTATCATAATTTTTATTGTCACTACCGCAATGCGGATCCTTAAGGTGACTTATGCATAAACAGCCTTGTTGTCTCTTGTGCTTCTCTGGGTCTCTCACTTGATGGCCGTAAAACAGTTCGTCGTAGTACTGAAATTTTGAATTTCCAATAAATCGTTGAATATTTAACGTACAAGACTCGATGACTTATCACCAAAATCAATACATATCAAATCATTTCTCCGTTCTGGGGATTTATTTAGAAATTCTGGACAACAAATTTGTAGTCAGTGAGTTGATTAATGGAATGTAGGTGAATTTTTTAAGCGAGTTTCGACGATTCCCAATATTTCTGAAGGCTTCTTAAACTTGAGATCTCCTCCTTCAAAAAGTGTAAATCGGGAGTGTATATTTTCAAAAATTGGCAACGACCTTCTCTACAAATTTGTCGTCCAGAATTTTTAAATAAATTCCCAAAGCTGAGAACTTACAAAAAAATGTGGTTATTTTTACGATTTTAGCGTTGAGCAATCGAGTCCAACGTTAAGGAATATTTAAGTCATAATTATAAACAAGATAATTAATTACATACATCCTCCTGCTGTAAAAAATCTGCGTTATCTTCGTTCCCATTTTTGTCCCCGGTTTTGGGGCTACTACTCGAGTCCCCATCGGAATAGGACAAGTGCTCATCCTCATTTTGGAACACGATTTGAGCCTGCACTGCGGTAGACGTTGAACACACGGAAATGCACACAAAGACAATAACTAGAAGAAACACAAGGTCACTGCTTAAATGAAAGTCTGGCATTATTCAACAATCACTGCTGCAAACCTGCAGCCCGTTGTAAAGATGTTTATTTATTACCCTTCTGGTAATAAGTAGTGTAAAACACTTGGAAGTTATTTCATACAAATTAATAAAAAATATGTAAATGAAATGTCAATCAAACACTTTTAGTATGCGAATCAATTACATTTTTCGTCGATATATGTATGAAAATATATGTACACGTTTGTCTATAGTAATTCACACACTATAAAATGCCACACTGGACCCCCAATATTAAGCAGGTATTAAGGAATAGTGTAATACAGATTCTTGTTCTTGTATAACGTGCCAAATTCGTAAGGTGGTTTAAGTGTCCTCTTAACAATTTTTTGGCCACAGGAGAGGATTAAAAAGATTAAAGTATGTACATTAAGCAGCGGATTTTCCTGTAATAAAGAAATAAATGACCACAAACAAAACATGGTCCATTCAATAAATACATAATCATAATTGCACGTACATTACGTACTTACAAGCATGCATATTATGGCATTAACCAGTTTTATTTTTAAGGATGAGCCACCATTGTGTTTGGTTTGGGATCGAGGATTGCATGGAAATCTTCACACTCAAAGCTGGATGGATTTTAGCACGCAAATTAAAGAAATTAATACCACCAAGATGTACATAAATCCTATCCGTTTAGGGTACTGCACTGGACAAAGTGTGTACTGCTGCTAATGTTTATAAGATGCTAATAAAATACTACGTCAACAACAAATAAATCTTATACTTACGTGCAGTTAATTTGCTAGTAAGATATGTAAATACGTTGTATGGATGGTGGTGATGAGCAATAAAAAACTTTTCGTACATCATCAAATGCAAATCTCTGTTTGAGCCGAGCTTTGCTTTGTTTGGATTGTTTTTTTATGCAGAAATTTCACACAAAAAATGGGGTACAATACATACGATTGGGCATGGCAAATTACTTCGTAAATACGCTATCATGCGCATACCTATAAATAAATTCACGATATTTGCATATATACACCATATATATGTGTGTACATATCTGTTAAGACATAATTTTGTCACAGCGTATCGCTTGTAAGAATTACGTAACTTTTAAACTGCATGACCTTGAACGTGACAAAGAATAAGTGCAAAAAGAAGATCTTGATAATGAATTTGATGAAAGCTGCATACAACACATTGTTGTTACATGAATTAAAATTATGTAAATTCTCGATTCAGCTCTCGTGCCACAACAACAATGTTGTAACAATTATTGTTACAACATTTACATGATCTGTTAAACAAAGGAATGGTTTTAATGGAAAAGTAAGCCCGTCGTATTTACTCTTTATGAATGACACGGACGCGTGGGTACAAATGTGCATACAACGTTAAGACGCTTTAATTGTCAAGATAAGTGATTGACTTGTTGCATAAATGCGGCTCATTGATAAAAATCGATTCTGAAAAATATCACCCATCAATTTACATTGTATTACTTTACGACTCATCTACATATTATGTAATGCTGGATATGTAAATGAACAAGATGAATATTTTATGTATCTATCGACAGAGTCCTGCTGGGTCATTGGAAATGTAGCGTTTTTGTGGCATTAGTCAGGTCGAGATGGGCTGGGCTCTTAATTTGGTACTGCTGACACCCAAAAAACAATTAAACTATGGTTTTTACTGGAATTTTAGCCGTATAAATATAGGGCTTCGACGGTTGTGAATGTATCACAGTTTATAATTTCAATTGTTAATCAACACTAGACTTCTCCTCCTCCGGTAAAATGTTCAAGTTGGTAAGTAAATTCATATTTATATATTTTGAAAATTAGTAATCATTTTTTTAAAATGTTAAATTTTCCAGTTCGCCATCCTCCTCCTCGTCGCCTGCGCCATGGCGGTTGCCAGCGCGCAATACTTGGCATACCCAAGAGCCGCCGTCGTCTCGCCGTACGCTTATCGGTCCGCCTATGCCGCCCCCATTGCGGCTTATCGACCAGCCGTGTACTATGGTTAAAAACTTCTTCGGATAAGACGCCACAGAGCATAATTCAATTCATGACACCCAAAATTTCGGAACACTAAACCAACCCCACGCTTTTTTCTATTGAGAAACATTTATTTTCGACTTGTAAAAAAATACTACGAATATGGAAATTAACTAATAAAAACAATTGGCATTTGAAAATCAGAGTATTAAATAGTCACAGTGTTTCTCCTGCTAAATAACACCTGCACGAAATTAGTGCACGAAAATGTTTTTAAACGTTTAATATCACCCACTAAAAATCCGAAAAAGTGCATGAAGATGCACGAAAATGCACGAAAATAATTTGCATGCAAATAATATTGGAATAATGCAAATTTTTCTAAATATTCGATTAATTGAGTCAGAAAATAATTAGTCGGTAAATAATGCGTCGGTAAGTGGACGCCGGTAAAATAACGTAAACCATGAAATTCCCTGCATAAGTTGCATTTCATGTAATATTATGAATTTTTGTGCATTTTCATGCATTTTTATGCACCATGCATGCATAAAAATAATTTCGTGCTCACAAAAAGAAACACTGATTAGTCGATTAATAAATAAATCCAGCTTCTTTTTGGACTTGCCAGTACGTTCGGAGCCGTTCTGGAGGGTAGCCATGCGCCGCTATCAATCCTTTTCTCGGCTGGTCCCCACTTTCCACCCAAAATTTGAAGCGGTCCGAGTGGATTGGTTCGATCCCCATTTTCTTGGCGCAAATGGCAACATAAATGTCATCAAAGCGAAACGGTTTTACAAAAAATGTGGCATAATAAATATCCAAAAGAGCCGATTTGGACATCAGGATGTTGCCGGCGGTGACATATTTGGGAAAATAAGCGAATGGATATTCGTCCAAGTCGATGAACCATTTGTTTCCTGAAATAATTTTCATATTTAGGATAGGACTCGATGAATCATTACGAAAATCGTAAAAATCAACACATTTTTGAGGCATGGCTCGGCTGTGGGAATTTATTTTAAAATTCTGGACGATAAATTTGTAGTCAGTGAGTTGATTAATAGAATGGGGGCGAGTTTTTTAAGCCAGTTTTTCTGAAGGCTTCTTAAACTTGAGATCTCCTACTCGAAAACTTTCAAAATCTGGAGTGTATATTTTCAAAAATTGGCAACGACCTGCTCTACGAATTTGTCGTCCAGAATGTTAAAATAAATTCCCAGAGCTGAGAAATTATAAAAACATGTTGATTTTGGCAATGAGTCGTCGAGTCCCTCGTTAAATCAAATTGAAAGTATAATGCAATTTGCATATTTCACATATTACATGAATTTTAGTATTAACATGCAACTCACTAAATCGATGTCGCAACGGTTTCGAAAAGAATGTAAATCCTGCATAAAGTCTTTCCACTTTGGGATACTCTTCTTCCGTGAATTGACGCAGGTCTCGGACCGATAAGTAGTAGTCATCATCAATTAAAATGACATATTCAAAGTTGGGACAAAGTTCTGCCGCAAATCGCATCTCGGCCACCGTTTTGATCGTATTGTTGTAGTACGTGTCTGCATATTGGATTCTAACGATGTCGTTTTGTTGCTTCTCTTCTTCAAGCAGGGAAGCATGATGGACTTCATTGTCTGTGTTACCGATGAAAAATACAGTTTTTGTAGAGATTCCTGGCACAGGTTTTTTCCAAGTTTGTCGAATGGCGTTTCGATTTTCAAACTTATGAGGGGCCGATTTTACCAAGATGAGCTACATAAAATAAATTTCGCATTGATTGATTGATTAATTATAATTGTGATTCCACTTGGACGGGAATTACTCGTAATCATTAATTTCTGAACTTATGAAGGTCTCGCAGCGTATGCTCTCCGATTTTGACTAAATTAGTCTCAATCGATGGCAATTTCAATTAGTATGAAATTTGGAAAAGACACGATCTCCCAATGGACACATTTGGCAGAGATATTTGCATCCGAAGAGGAGAAAACGTGCCAAAAATTGACAAATTTCTTTGAACCATGTAATTTCCTTTTCACTTTCCAAATTTATTACGCGTTTTCTCCTCTTCGGATGCAAATATCTCTGCCAAACGTGCCCATTCGGATATCGTCTTTTATAATTTTACATTAATTAAATTTTGTACACGATTGACACTAATTTGGTCAAAATTAGAGAGCACCTCCATTGTCAGTGATACTAAAACCCGTGGAATCTTACAAGATAGTGGTCATTTTCGCATCCAGCCGTAGCCTTGCTTGGCAGCGTGGTCACACTCGAGTAATATTCATTCAATGGAGTCAAAGCTGAGGGGGTTTTCTCTCTGAAAATGTGTCCAAATTTTAACATTTTAATTTTAACCAAATTTTTAATTTAAGTAAGGCATAATTTGAAATAAAACCCTTACCGAAAATTGGTCACGATATCATAGAATTCATCATTGGTGAGAGCCAAGGGGTACGCAAATTGCGAATATGACGTTTCTCGTACCATCAAATCTAGACCAGCCTCCCAAACTATAAAGATGATAAGCAACACTGCGACAAGCAACGTTTTTGGTCGTCTCCTGTTCAGAAAACGTAAATATTGGACATTTGCATTTATTACTTGATGAAATGTGAATATGTAAATTTAATACCGAAACTTTGTAGTGAGATATAGACCCAACATGTTATCTTATTCCGCGAGGGTGAGAAGTTGTCAAATTTTATTTTTATTATGTAAAATCCAAGGACTAAATAAATAAATTTTAAAAAACAAACTTAGGTGAAGGACGCGCTTAAAATATTAAAACAAGAAGCATTACAAAATGTCATAAATCGTTTAATATTTACTAACTTTTACTTCACCGGGGGCCCAACTAACACAGGAAAAAAGGTATACTTTCAAGGATTTGGAACAATTATACGAAATGCGTAATATGTATTTGTATATTAAACTTGCAAGATTTGAATGATTATCTTTCAATAAATCGCGACACCTCTTATAGAGGAAATTTGCTCATGTTCTGGCGTATTTTTAATAACTTCTGTAATGCTGCCCTTCATATTTAATCAAGTCGTTGGTTTAGCTACATTTATTATTGACTATCATTGCTTTGAAAATTTAACAGTTGGGCCCCCGGTGAAGTAAAAGTTAATAAATATTAAACGATTTATGACATTTTTTAATGCTTCTTGTTTTAATATTTTAAGCGCGTCCTTCACCTAAGTTTGTTTTTTAAAATTTATTTATTTAATTATTTTTAGTGATTTGTGAACTTATATGCATAAAATCATATGCAATTATAAAATCTTAAACGTTGTTAATTCTCCTGTTTGTGGACGCTTGGCATACCAATTTAATTCCGCAGTGGGTGTGGATGCGTGGCATGCCAATTTAATCCCCCAGTTTCAAAATTTTAAGGATTGTTCTGTTCTGTCAAGGATGCCTTGACACTTAGCGATCTAATAATAACGTAATTCGATTGTCTAGCAACATTGGATATGTTGAGTATTGAATAGCGATGCTGAATAAACTATCCCCGCACGTTAGCAACCAGTAACTTAACACGTAAATAGGTTGCCTAATGCGAATATTTCAAAAAGCTCTAATTCCGTCAGTTTTGATCCGATTAAGTCGAACAAAGGCTTACAATTTGCGTATTATCCTGGAGAATAATAAAAATGGCAAGCCCCCGGTCGGAAACACTTCCTTGATGCCAAGAAATGGATTTGAAATTTTAGGCATCGGACTTTCTACCTGAAGGAATTAGAATTTTTGAAAAAATAAAAAAAACGTATCTGTAAAACAGAATTCTCTGGTTTTTTTGTTTCAGCATGTTTTCCATGCAACGAACGGTTTGGGCGAAATCTCAGTGCGACCTTTTCAAAGTTGCAGCTGATTGCATACCTAGGCTTCGCCGTAACCATGGTGATCTTTTAACATGATCACCTTATGGTTACTTTTCCTTCACCTAAGAAAAAGATCCAAAAAGTCAAGCACAAAATGATCACCGTTAAATCGCGGGGTATTATTTTTATTAAAATAATAACGTATTTTTGACATTGGGCGTTTTAATTGCACAATTTTCATTATTCCTTCAATCCTGATTTGGAATGGGACGAAAATTGTTGCGGTTTTCATGGAAAAAATCAGGAATTCGGAAACGATTTTTAGGAACGAACTTTTTTTCCGTCCTACTCGCGAGATGGATAAGTAATATTAAGATATGCACATATGTAAAATGTAGATTAATACACTTTTACGCACGTGTTGAGACAACCTTCTCCAAAAAATTTTTTAAAGATTTTCTTCTATTGACTTATTTTTTCTGCACCGGATGGATGATATCTACGTAAATATGTACGTACGTACTGGTGATGAATGATATGTGCACACATAAGTTCTGCTTATCATTGTTCAAACAGTGTTCTCGGTCTCGGTTACATGCAACACAACTGTCAAGCAAGATGACAACTTGGCCTCTTATTACATGCACGATTAATAATCTAGATATCTCAACTTACAATTAGTTTAATCCTTTTAAAGTTCTGACATGGCACTCCTAAAAAAAGATGATCTTTTTATTATTTTAATCATTTAAATTGACGTTGGAGGACATGTTACTTGAGACATTTTTCTATTTTTGCAAGCTTTCTGCATTCCTACAGAATTCCATCATCAAGCAAATGCAGACTTTGTATCATAAACTTTTTTAGTTTTTCTCGTGTACGTTTACAATTCTAAAGATGACTAAAAGGAAATGAGGACGAATGTCGGTATCGGTTAAGTTGGGATGATATGCACATATCCTGCCTGTATATGATATGAACATATCTTGTCCCCCTGCTCTGAATAACGCTTTGTTTGAATTGCTTATCTAGTGCGGTAAAACAAATGGAGATGTTCTCATATCCTGGCTGCTTCAAACTGTTGTGAATATGTATGGGTGCTAGTGAGCAGTGGCCGCGGAAGCCGTGGGGACATGAGGGGACATTATCATTGTAGGATAGGGGAGGGACGGGTTTATGTAACATGGGCAGATGACGGGGACCTCGAATAACCGTGGGGACATTGTCCCTCTGTGTCCCCATCCACGCTTCCGCGGCCACTGGGTATAGTTGATGATATCCACCGAAATTGTATCCAACCCATGGCACGTACATATTTACTTTATGATGCATCGTATCTAGAACCATGTAATCTCTGTTTTATGATCAATTTTCTACACGATTCCGAGGTTTTGTTGTATTTATTTATGTACTGTCATTCATCAAACATTGTAAAATAAATATACCCGACGACAAAAGGCAGAAAATTTAGCGAGAAAATATACACAATTTGACTCAATTGTGGTTAAAAGTTTTATAAAAGTGGTAGTTTTGCGGTACATGATTCCATTTTCTTTTAAATTTTTTGGTGGTCAGGCGCATACAAAACATGGAATTCGATAGAATGATCTTTGTCCTGGTGGTCGTACTGGCCGTTTTTTCGTCCGTTTGCGAGGCAAGTGCGGTTGGAAATGCGCAGTACAACAGTACTCAGCATAACCATGACCATAATAATCACGACCATTATGAGCGTAAGTTTGGAAATAATTTTGAAAATGTGAGTAAAATTAGATGAGTGATTTGTATGTTTTTGAATTAGCACTCCAATGCTACTCGTGTATTTCGATTGAAAAATTCCCCAACATGTCGGCGGAAGGGTGTGCAAAGAGGAGTCCACCGTCCAACTACTTAACCAAGGATTGTTTTGGGTACAACAGCCCCATAGCGTTGGGTGAGTTATCAGCAGTGTGGTTGGGTGCAAGTAGATAACCGCTTGGAAGAAATTTTTGCAGGTATTTTGACCTGCATGGCGCAAGAAACGACGCCCTGCTGCGCATACTTCATACGGCGCGTGGCGAGATGGCGCATATTTCTTACACTTTCTCCCAGTTTCTTTCACCTCCCATTTCTTGCATGTCTTGCTTTGCAGTGCAAGAAATGTATTAATAAACCCACAAGAAACGAAACACTGGCAAGTTACCACTTGCAAGAAAGTGGTTTTTTTGTATGTATTTTGACATGCAAGAAATGCAAGGCGCGAGAAACGACGCCGCGCCGCTTATCTTTATTCGTCGCATATTGCGCGTATTTTTTGCACCTTCTCCCAGTTTCCTTCGCCTCACATTTCTTGCACTTTCTTGCTTTGCAGTGCAGAAAAAGGTAGCAAACCCGCAAAAAAAAACGAAACACAGTTATCAAGCAACCTCAATACTTCATACCCTAAATTAATTATATGCAATTGCATTTCAGCTGCTATTCGACACCAAGTGACCTCCGGGAAATTTGGGCATGGTCCAGAAGACCCCATGAACGTGCACTGTGTCCACATCAAAGGAACAAGCGACGCTGGTGGCCAAATCAACATTCGAGGATGTGCCACGCTTCCAAAAGAAGAAATCTACCAGGGAAAGACTTGCATACCTGGAAACGACCTCATGCTAATCCCCGTTGGCATGGTCAAAGAGGTCGAGTACTGTTACTGCAAGGGGACCGGGTGCAATACTTCGCCTAAATTCGGGCCTACCAATATTTTTGCTGGCTTGCTCCTTACAGTGATTGCGATTACAAATAAATTAACTAATAGCTTGTGAAACTACCCAGTATTCAAGAAGATAATGACCAATTAATAAATGTGGATAATGTGTAATCAGTATCACTCCAATTTAATGGCCTTCACCTTTTTGCTGTAAAATTGCATATGTAAAACTGAATTGTATATAACCACGCCTAAAATGTAAACGATAGCACGTGCATGCAAATGACTAAATCATGTTTTCACTGATAATTCCCAATGTCTGTTTGTTTTAGGAGAATGAAACGCATGCAATTCTGACATCTGCTGCAAGGGAAGATTGCAAATTGCTGAGAAAGTGATAAAATGAGACTTCATTCATGCAAAGTGGAACATTTTTCTGTGAGCAGGAAACGGTGAAAGTCGCATCTTCAAAAATCGGCATAATGACTTATTTCATCGTGTTTCTACTTTTTGCATACAGCGTTACATTCACGGAGGGTAAGTAGTAGTTCTCAGAGTGGCTGCGGAAGCTGTGGGGACATTAATATTGTGGGATAGGAGAGGGAGGGGTTTATATAAGATGGGGGAGATGATGGGGACATCGAATACCCGTGGGGACATGGTCCCTCTGTCCACACGCTTCCGCGGCCACAGAATTCTCCGTATTTGGTTTATACGTGTATTAATTAATTAATTACTCGTATCATCTTTCCGAATAAGCTCTCAATTGCTACCATTGCACATCGATAGCGATAAATAGTACTTTCTACCGTCCTGACTGTAACGCCACAAAAGTACCTGACGCGTATTTGATGGAATGTGGACAGTGGCCGTGGCCCATACAGGGTAACAAAATTTTGGTGCATGTACATATAAATGCTTACTCTCAATTTTCCTTAATTGTGCAAAATAGAATTGTTACAAATCGATGATGGGAATGATGTGAAGGCAAACGGGAACGTAATTCTAGACGACGGAATGACGCTTTATAATCCGTCCCGAATCGGCAGCAATGGAACGGTAGCGACCCCACAAGGATACACGTTAGACTTGATATGTGCAAAGTTGGATGCTGATATGCAAAATGTGCACCATGTTATCAGGTAGTAAATAAGGAATATATATATTTATGTGCATGCAAATATTTATACTGAGAATGAGAATGGAGGTCTTCCAGCGTGTGCTCTCCGATTTGAGCAAACAGGTATTAATCTGGCACAAATTCAATTAGCCTGAAATTTGCAAAAGTTACGGTTTCCCAATGCGCACGTTTTTGGGGAGATATTTGCATCCCAAGAAGAGATAATGCGACAAAAGTTGACAAATTATTGATTTTACTTTGCTGTGCGTTTTCTCCTCTTCGGATGCAAATATCTCTGCCAAACGAGCCCGTTGGGAGATATTGTCTTTCGCAAATTTCCTACTAATTAAATTTGTTCTCAATTGACACTAGTTTGCTCAAAAGCTGAGAGCATACGCAGGGGCAGGAGACCTCCATTGTAAGTATGCAATTAACCTTTTGCATTACATGTACGACATCCACAGGGGCTGTGTCTTCGCCCTTTTGAAGGACATGGTCAACAAATGCGAAAACTTGGATTACGACTATGAAACTATAGACGGAGTCACCCTAAAAAATATGAAAGTATGTTTCTGCAATCAGGAGGCTTGTAATTCAGGAAACACTTTGAACCCATTATGGTTAATCGCAGTTTTTCTGGTCACACCACTTTTAGTAAAATCCATCCGTATACTATAATATATTTTCAGTTTAGGTAACATTTATTATGATTTCACTTCATTATAGAAATTGTTATCAGTGTTATTATAATAATATAGCTTCAATAATTGACACTTGAGTTTGAGCATGACCAATGAAATTGAAATCATTAGTTGTCATCCAAAATACTAAGCACAACAATAAAAAAAGGTTGCAAAATGTCAGAGAATTGTCATAAAAAATATAAAAACTATCGCCGATAAGTGATGTGACTTGCACAAACATCCATCTGAGTCATATACGCGTACAGGTAAGTACATAAGTTTAAAAATTATAATAATATATAAATAAAGTTATAGTAAATAAGACGAAAACAATTATTAATACATAATATGCGATTTTTATATAAATATGTATGTAGTCATCACACGTGTCCGAATTGCACCAGCAAGAAGAAATTGCTTATTGCATTTGGCGATTATTCTTATCATCTAGAATGATCTCAATTTCTGAGGAGGCATCCGGCACGACCATAATGTTGGTTATGAGGTCGTTAAATTGATTAATTTCAGAAAGTTGTAAAACATCATCAATTGATTTTGGTAACGTTGTTTCAACACTTGGTGCTACTTCCCGTGTCGTCGTGGTCGTGAACGTGCCGACAGAATCGATAACTTGGGAGGTGGTAGAAAATACGGCATTGTTTGATGAATGGTTGAAATCGCCGCGATTTATGGCAAGAAGTAATGCAGCATCTTCTTCGGATATCAGACTGTGATGGGGCAAGAAACTAACTGATTGTTTGGGGGTTGTGGGGGTTGTGGGATGTTGCGAAATAATTACTGAAGGTTGTTGCAGCAAAGATGAAGCAGGCGTGGTGGATTCATTATTATCAATTTCCATCGGCTCGGATTCTGTAGAAATGTGAGAATTTGTAAATACGGAAGTTGACTGCGAGGAGTCATTGTTTAATAATTTCTCGTCTTGATGTTGTTTTTGTTCCGTTGTTTCTCTTTCCTTTAAAATGGGAGAGTTGTGATTCGAAGTTCTCTGATCTTTTCGAGAATAAACACGGACAACGGCAGGTTTGTTGGAGATAATTTCATTTTCTAGAGAAGAACATGGCGATGGGGATAGAATGGATTGAGTTTCTTCTTCGTCTTCCTCCTCATCTTCTTCTTCCCAATCATTGTCCAACTCTTCATCCTCGGTAATGATGGAATTAACCAAATTGATAGAATTTAATTGGGGGGAATATATTGAAATTCGATTTCCAGAATCATGATGCTTAGGATTTGGGGAGGACAGAGGGGTATCAAGAAGATTGTCGGATTTATCAAGACTTTTAGACTGAGATCTCTTCCTCAATGGTTTCAATACAGGTCTATCGGAAGGGGGCTTGAGATGAATTTGAACTATGGAAGAAAATATGACAAATAATTAATACATTTCAAATTCTAGAACTTCTTATTATCTATTTACATACCATGTTTTTTGAGATCAGACGATAAAATAAAGGCTCTCCCGCACGTATCACCTAAACAAATTGTAATGTTGATATTAGTACTATTTTAAAATATCAAGTGAAAAATAATTGACAAACTCTCTTTCTCACATTTATGGGGACGTTCTCCTGTGTGAACCTTTTTCCTGTAATTGTGATTAAATGGTTATACTTACTGTTGCAAGCATTTACATAATCACATAACTCAGTTACTCATTTGCATAATCACATAAATGAATTACCTGTGATAATGAAGAGATACCAGCTCGTGGAATAACATTCCGCATGATTCGCAGGAATATGGCTGAAATTATAGTTTATTATTATAATGCTAATCTTAAGTCAGGATATTTTTAAATCTAAAGTTACTCACCATTTCCCCAGTGTGAATCTGAAAAATAAATTAAATGATTCATTAATTAATTTACAAATTTATTTTGAAACTCGTCTAAAAGTCTAAAAGTTTATAAAAATTTACCCGCATATGCCTTTTCAGCAAGGAAGCATAATTGTAAGCTCTATCACAGATCGCACACCTAAATTTCCTATCCTGTGCATGCGCTCGTTGATGAAGAATTAGGGATGCCTCCTTGATAAATTGTTTGCCACAAGTCCCACATCTGTACAAAAAAAGTTAATTGAAACGAATGATTATTGGAGGAGGAGTAAGGATCACTGGACATACTGTAGCGAGGTTTGTTGATGAGTTTGCATATGCTTTTTCAAATTACTGCTCTGAATAAATGAGCGTTGACATATTGGGCAAACGTAAGGCTTCTCGCCAGTATGGGTCCTTTCATGCTCCTAATTTTCATAAAATATAGGTGTAAAGTTAGTACAAACGATATAAAATACGCTGTTTTGCATGGAATCAAAAATATATAAGCTTGCCTTTTTATGACTATGAGTTTTGAAAACTCTGCCACAATATTGACATGCCAAGTTAGCCTTGGAAGGATTTCCGTGACATCTGGCATGGCGTTTAAGGTCGAATTCATTGTCATACGACTTGGTGCACTGATCACATGCAAAAGGAAGCCGAACTCCTGAATTGTCATCATCCAACGAGACAGAAAAAGAACTTTCGGTATTGCTCAAATCTGAAGCGGCATCTTCTTTCTGGTCGTTTGCTTGACCTTCCAGTACAACTGTGACGTCGTCGTCATTAAATTCTACGTGTCGCTCAATGAAGTCTGAAAAAATGAATTAAAAGAAACGTTAATTAATTTCAAAATTTAATTTCCAAGTCTTAAAGTGAGTATAAAATTACCCTCTTCATACACTTTGACCGCATCAGCACAGGGTAAGGCGTAGTTATGAAAGTATGCAACGTTGGACTGGATAACTTCGTATTTTATACTTTCTTCACACTGCCAATGTTCCCACAGACCCCAAGCACCTCCAACATAGTTTTCCGTTATAGAATAGTGACCATGAATTTCTTGTTCGTGTTGAATCAATGATTTCGCATTTGACAAACACATCCCACAAAGCCCACACACTTGCATAGCGTGAACTCGGTCGTAGTGATCTTGAACGTAATCACTCGAGGAGAATTCCGTACCACATTCGAAACAAGTAAACGGAATGTCGCTGACTAGATTGCACACTTTTCTGATATGTGACTCATACCATGGCGAAAATGGTGCTGGCCTAAAATAATTAAAAACATAATTATATAGTTAGTTATCCTGTTTATTCAAGTGTCAAAAATTGAGATTTACCTAAAACGTTTTCTAAAATGTTTTTTCAGTTCGGGGTGTCGAAGGTATCTAGAATTAAATAAGATCTAATGTAATTCATAATTTTGGCTTTGAATATGGGAAAAATATCTGAAATTTACTTTACTTACACAATACTACGATGTTTTAAGTCGTATTTATGCAATTTTTCATGTCTCAATTTTAATATACGAGCAACAAATCTTGCCCCACAAATTTTACAGGAATGAAGACAGTTTTTCTCAGCGTGGTCCTTTTTTAAATGTTTTTTAAGGTCTCGGGTACTGTAAAACCATCTGTAGCAAAAATGGCAAATGTCCGTGTCTGAAAGTGAAATAAATTCAATATTTATCCTTTTCTTGGATTATAAAATTTAAAATATAATTAAAACTGCATCCTCTTACGCATGGGGTCGGCTCTATTTTTAAAGGCAAGAAGCAGCTCATCATCGTCGTCGACATATCCAAACAACCATTTTGGAGTCTTGGCAGGCCGTGAATTTGTATCAGGAACCAAATGTTTTAATTTTCTCAGTTCTTTCACAAAATGACACGCGTCTTTCACTGGCATTGAAGTTGATTGAGGGTCGTTAGCAGATTCAATTTCGCTTGATTTGACATCAATTTTATCATTTTCCACCCTTTCATCGCTACCCGCTGGACTGTCATCGACTGGACTATCTTCATTACTATCTTTCCTCTCATCGCATACAGCAGGCCTGGTTTCATCAATTGATTCAGTCTTGTTTAAATTTTGAGATGCTGATTGGGACAAGGAATAGCAGGAAACTATTTTGAGGTCAAAATTATCCACTACTTGGTGTTTGACAGGGTCTGAAGAAGAAGCTGTTTTTATAGATAAATCTGCGCTAGTGGTCGTAATTGGTACATTAACGGATTCTGAATTTGTACAGGACTCCACTTTCTCTTGAATCAACGCTGTTGTACTTTCCTTTACTGGTTTTTCGATGTTTGCATGAACACTTTCTTGCAAGGATTTATTACTAATAACACTGCTAGCAATCTCATGAGCAGGTATACAACCTTCTTGTCTGGATAAGTGATCACTAACACCCTCATTAGTCCTAGTAATTTCTTGCATTACGGGAGTAAACGTTGCTGTTGTACCACTGTTGGTCGACATTACGCTCTGAGAACTCGCTGTTGGTACAAGTTCAACATTTTGCATGGTGTAATATGACGTCTGATGTTCTGACGAGGGTTCCGTTGACGTCGTCGAAATTGAATATTCACGCTGATCCGGTGGAAACTGAATTGTCGTCATGTTATTATTACCCACGGAAAGATATTGCTGTTGAGGAAGTGAAGAAGACGCCACCGACACGGTTGACGTATCAAGCAAAATACTACCAGTTGAGGATGAAGACATTGGTACAAAATCCACCCAGGTCGCCATACTATTATCAGACACGGATTGCGAGGATGTCTGAACAGTTTGGAATTGATACCCCGACGAAGAAATGGAAGTAGTTGGGACTACCGTTTGTATCTGTGTGGAAGTTGGATTTGATGTCTGATTTGTTGGAAGAGGAATTTGAATAATTTGTCCAGATGGGTCATAAATTATCAAATTATTATCCACCTGCACGGCTGTAGCACCTGGGGATATGAAACTAGAAACTATTGACATAATTGTCCCTGAAACTTGTCCACTTCCTCCAACGACATCGAGACTACTGGTAGTTACAGGCTGCTGCTGCTGCTGTTGAACTTGATAACTCTCAAGACCAAGCGGCATCGATAATCCGCCAACTTCTTCAAGCGCATAATTGATCTGGGGTTGATGTTGGGAAGGCTGTATTTGCAGTTGGGCCTGAATTGGATGGGTTTGAAGGTTATGATGATGAGGGGTTACTGCTAACTGATGATTTTCTAATTGTTGAACAAACTGTATATTTTGTACAGGAAGTTGTATTTGCTGTTGTTGCATTTGATCGGGTTGCGTTTGAATCACATTTCTGGAAAAAAGGTCTCCCACATCCATCACTGGATCGATGTCGATCGTTGGAAATCTCTGATCTCCAGTGAGGGGTCTGATATAAAAGTCTTCGTCGTCCCTGATTTTATAAACGGCTTCGTCATTTTCGCCACACACGGTGGTCAGACCAGTCAGTTCTACGGTCCGAGTGGACGAGGGTACGGTGACGAGAGAACTGTCAATTATTTCAAAATGGCCAGAATTTGGATCCAACTGCACGACATAATTGGAGGTGGCTTGATGACCCGATATATTCGAAATTCCAGACGTATTCTGCAACGGAGGAATATGACTTGTTTGGTGATATGGATCCATCTAAAGAGAGAAATATGAAAAAGAATTTGGTACATTAGAGGGATTCATAGCTTTTCAAATTATACATTTTTTAGGTTAAAATTTCATAATGATCATGACGGATATTAACAACGTCAATTGTCATGACCAGCACTATTTCCAGATTGATGATGAAACATTATACATAATACGTGGCGTTACGCCACAAACTCTTTCAGATTTTATTGTATAACATCATCTTATCATAAGATTCTTATGTAATTATTAAGTACTACCAATTAAATCTATCGATAACCACAACCTGCTCCAATACATGAACAATTTTGAATTCATTCATTCATGTTCCGTATTCAGATCAGATTCAGGTCAGACAAAAAATCTAGGTGGGTGAAAGTTCCGTAAATTTTGGAACCTTCCCCAACTTCAGTTATCATCATACTATCCATCCATTACTTAATGACTCATTAAACAAACTTTTACTAATTAAATATCACCCTCATTAATCTTAACCATCTATTATAAGCAACTTACTGGTTCCGTTATTACTTAAAAATCCGTCCCAAACCGGGGAATGAAAGTGGAAATCTTTTCCTTTCACTGCATGTCTCATCCCACAAAATCATGAAGGATCAATTTTTAACTGTTTACTTTAATTATAACGACAATATGATTCCTACCACAATTTGCTAACTTATTTATTTTCGCCTTCATTCAATTCTATAATAACAACAACTCTTCTGCTTCTCATGCAATACATTTCATTAAAATGTTTCCTGCGCCAGCTGGAGATGCCTGAACAAACCATTTATTCGTCCAAGCCAAAAAAGACTTTTGTAGGAATTTAATATCTGCATAAAAATGTAAGTTTGCGAATTTTGCCAATTTTTTAACCCACCTTGCGATTTCACCGGCTGCCCGGAAGGTCACCCTCCACTCAGGTGCTATCCTTTTGGAGGGAGGGGTGCGTTTTCGGGGCAATTTTTAATTTTTATTTCGACTATGATTTTTCCCCAGTGAACGAATCCGTTGTATATTATTTGGTGAATCTGGTTGTGTTAGTTTTGTTGGGTAGGCTTTGTTGCTTGCAGACGCATCCTCAATGAAAAATGAAACGATTTAAACGTTGGCACGCTGTGAACTTGAGATGGCAAAGGAGTTGGGCTGGGATTGTGGTAGGTGGCAGATGGACGGGGGGGATAATCCATATATTTTGTGGTTGGTGAGTGGTTTTGCATGGAAATGAAATGTGTGTTCAAAGGGTTGAAGGAAGAGTTCAGAATTTCGAAATTTTGTGCTTGGATGCTGTTAGAAAGTGGAAAGTTGGCTTTGTTTGGGATAGACGCCGCAACTGGTAACTTGGTTGGAAGGGATGAATGGAATGGATCGGAAATTTTATGAGGAGAGGAGGGGTTTTAATGGAATTTGGATTTTTAGTTAAGTAGACTGGAAGGGGAGGGGGGATTTAAGTAGAAGTAGACTTGAGTGGGGGGAGGGGGGTCATTAAAATGTAAAAAATTGACAAGTAGAAAAGTCTTGTGCGACAGACTTTTTTATGCAGCAATCATGCCATGTATGTCGGTCTATGATGAGTGATTTACACACAGAATAATATTAAGGACAAACATGAAACAATTCAATTCAAAAGCTGTAATTTAACAAGAAAAAGATTAGTATATTTCTTTGTCTTACTAAGCTTGGAGGAAATCAGTAAAAACAGAGGAATATTTTGTTTTTCTTATATAATGCCAATCTTGTTGGCAACATCGAGCGCATCGAAATCCGCAGCCAGTCGAACGTACGCCTTCTTCTTGCCGTCAGGTCTGACCAGAGTATTGACCTTTGCTACTTCCACTTCGTACAACTTTTTAACGGCGGCCTTTACGTGAAATTTGTTAGATTTCAGGTGAACGATGAAGACGAGGGTGTTGTTATCTTCAATCTTCTTCATTGCGGATTCGGTTGTGAGAGGGTATTGAATCACGTTGTAGGCGTCCATACGACAACGACGGGGGGCGGCCTTCTTTGGAAACTTGGGCTTCCTTGGGGGGCGGAACGTCCTGGGTCGCTTGAACTGGATGGTGGGTCGGATCTTGCGGACTCGTTTTCTTTCGCCATCAGCGACTTTGATTACCTGGATATACGAATAATAATAAATTGTAAATAGTGATTAATTATTTTTACAGTTTTAACTAATTACATCATTTACATATAACACAAATCGACATCGAATGAACAATCTTATTAAATTCGTTTAAATCAGGAATGTGATGTTGTAATCACTCATTTCATCGAGATTCCCACATTATTATCATCCTTTTTATAACCAATATTAAATGATACTCGTTTAATACTGATAATTAATAATCAATTAGCATACCTTCTTCTGGATTTTGAGCGCCTTATTGATTGCTAGCTGTCTCCTTTTCTGCCTACTTTTCAACCGCTTCTGCAGCGCCGTCAAATTGACCTTGACCTTCTTGACCTTTGGTTTCTTCTCCTTCGGGGTTTTAGGCGCACTCGTGGTCGCGGCGGCTGGCTTCTTCTCCTTCTTAGCAGCAGCCCCTGCGGCCTTGGTGGGCTTCTTCTCTGTAAGGACAACAACAATTTTAGAAATATAGGGACAAAAATGATAAATTGTGATGGGTGGGGGTTAATTTGAGGGGGTGTGGGGGGAAATAATTACCTTCTTTTTTGGGAGCCATGTGGCCGAATATTTCTTCAATGGTGACGGCGAGAGGAGAGTGCGGCTGGTCGTTTGAGAGCACGTTGTCCCACCGCCAAGCAAACTCGATGGTTGCGCAGCTGACAGGCTGATTATGCAAATGCATGGAAAATGGAGGGGACGGGTTTTTTAGTGGGATGATCTTTCGACATCATGGCGACAACGACAACGACCGTGACCAAGATCAAGAGTCGTCAAGTCACCGAGTTTCCCATCGCGTGGGACGAGGCCACCACGCCGTATGCCCTCAACACGTTCACTCCTTCGGCCAGGACACTTTCGGATGTTGCTAGTTCTCATCAGGTAATTAATTAATTAATTAGTTTTAATTTTTGATAGTTGTATGATATTTAGTGTCCCTGTTTTGCAGTTGGACCGTCTTTCATCTTCCAGTTCTTCGTCGGGAGGACGTTCCAGTATTCCTGTACGACTTGCCAAAGCCGTTTTCGTGGGGGATGTGGGTGAGTAGAGTTTTTTTGGGGGGTTATATGACCTGTGATTGATTTATTTATCTTGAAATAGGAGTGGGGAAGACGTCTATTATCAATCGGTTTTGTCGCGATATTTTCCAGTCCCATTATAACGCTACGATTGGAGTTGATTATGAAATGGAACGCTTTTGGATACTCAACATTCCATTTAACCTACAAATGTAAGGATTTAAGGGAGAAAGTCTGGACGGGATAAATTGATAACGTTAATTTTCGGGTTAAATTTCAGATGGGACACAGCCGGACAAGAACGATTCAAATGCATTGCTGCAGCATATTACAGAGGGGCCAACATTGTCGTTACTGTGTTCGATTCAAGTAATTTAGAAAGCTTGTCGACTTGCCAGAGGTGGATGGACGATGCAGGTAAGAATAATTAATTAATTTGTGAAATTATTTGTAATTATTATTAGCATTGTATTCTTTCATACAGTCGGTGCCAACCGTGTAGTGCCTTTAAAATTCTTGGTCGGCACGAAAATTGATCTCGTGGTGAGGAAAAGAATTTAAATAAATTTAGATAAATATTGTGCATGCGTGTTGTAACTATTCAAAATTCATTTTAGAATGAAACACACCGAGACAAAATTCATCAAATGGGTATACGAATGGCAAACCTTATGGAAGCCGAGGTAATACAAAATTTCATGATAACACTCTTGCGGTATTATATTATGATACTCGCGAGATTGGAGTTGTTTCAAACTATAATTTAAAGATAAATAAATTAAAATTATCCTTGTTTCTCTCCAGTACTGGTCAGTGTCATCAAAGTCTGGAGAAAATGTGGAGCTATTTTTCCGACGGATTGCCACTTTAGCTTTGGAGACCAATCTGGCTAATGAAGCTACCGAAAATATTTCTCACTCAAGGCCACTAATGCAAATGCATAATCAATCATCATGTAAGTGTAGTTAACTAATTATTTGCAGAAAAAAAGATAAATTATGAATTTATTTCATTTTACAGCTCTATTACGCCCATCAATGTCTCAACAGCAAATGTGGGAGAATAGTCGTGGATCAAGAAAGTGTTCATCATGCAAAAACTTTTGATTTTAGATGATTGAATAGTTAAAGTATCAATTACTTTCCGTATTACTTTATTGCTAGTCAGTGACCCAAAGTCGATGCAAGCAACTTTTCGTGATTTATTGTTATTATTTGATCTCATAATTGCATTCCGGATGATTTATCTTAATCTTATGTATGTATCTGTTAGGACTTATTTCAATAAAAATATTTCTTCTAATGTATCTCAACATTGCATTGATATTGTAAAATTTATTTTGTTTGCAATTTTTTCAGCGTATTTTTCATTCATTTAATGCATAATTCATAAAATAGATAGATTATAACATTTATATGGCTTAATGTACTTATTTATATATCAAACAATTACTTTAGTAAGTCGCGAAAAGAGAATTCTCAAAATTTCTAAAAATAATAATTAATAATATGATCCACATATTTATTTTATTCATGGCGTCTTTGTTAAACATTTTTTTAACCAGTCTCATCTTGCCTCACGCTACAAATTGTACTTTCTAGTATTAATAAAATGCAAAATTATGACGTAAATGTTATATTTCGATTTTGAATGTTATATAGCTGCATAATAATTAAGATTGGTCAGTTTACAAATACAAAGAGTAAAAATACAACATCAACTAGTGACTAGAAAAGACTCTAGTGTCAAAATAAAAAAAACTTATGAAAACATTGGAATATTTTTCCTCAATATTCCTGAGAATAGTGTGTTCTAGAAGTTCTGGAAATATTACTCCTAATTTACCAAGAAATTTCCCTTTTGAAAAACAATGGAATATTTTTCCTCCGATATTCCTCAGAATGCACGTTCTGGAAGGAAATATTAATCCCACCCAATTTAACAATAAACATATTTCGGTACCGGCCACGAAGAAAACCCTTCCCTTCATAACCTTTCCTCAGGTACACCGCGGCTACCCAACTTCCCGACCCTTCACTTTGCAAATTTTACATTGAAACAGTTGCATGTATTTAGTAGTTTTTTAATAGATACGTACAATTAATTATTCACATCATATCATAATGTCGATACTTTTGGTTGTATTTAAACCCACTAGAGACAAGTTTTATCATATTTTCCACAATAGTTCGAAGAATAAATCCGTTAGCATTTTATATTCATAGATATTTGTGAACAATATCCTCCAGGAATTAGAAACGTGACAACTTCCAGAAATGTGCGGTTTGGTATCAACGATCGGTCAAAAATATTGAGTTACACCTTGCGCCTTATGAAAGCATTGGAATATTTTTCCTCCAATATTTTTCAGAATAGTATGTGCTGGAAGGTCTGGAAATATTAATCCCACCCAATTTACCAAGAAACCTATATCAGTACCTGCAAACTAACCCTTCCTCAGGTATCGCGCTACCCGACTTCCCGACCAAGTGACCCTTCACTTTGCTATGCATTTGCCTGCTTACTTGCTTCCTACCACATTTAACTTATCCTTAACTCCTTAACTGCCTCCAGTAAATAAAAAGCCCAGCATTCGACAATCAGTTCTCATTCGCAATTTCGTCCTCGTCCAGTAAGCAAGCTTCAAAATCAATCCACATCCCAACCAAGACGTAAAACATCCCCACTGCCCCCCATTAAACAGAAGAAGTCATTATGGAGATCGGTTACGACCTTGTCCCGAGACACAGCATCCACGCCAAGAAGACCAACCAGGCAACCAGTTTCAACGAATACTATCGGGAGTCCTCGGCTCAAAGGATGGAGAAGATTTCGCCACAAATCCTGCAAGGATTTGAGGACAAACCCTTCGTCGTAGACGCCAAAGAGGAGACGACAAGCTGGCGACAAACAAATCCACTCCTGATTGCGAATGTGAGTAATTTAATCTGGGTTTCATATTGAATTTGCAATTATTCGTAATTAATTTGTATGCGTACACAGTTGAGATTTTATCGCACAAAAAATATTTCATGAGATTATTTACGCCGTCCTGATAATAATTGCTGAAAATGAGTCGGATTTGTTTGCGACATTTGTCAGTACATATATTTTTAAAATTATCAAATTAGAATGGTTGGCTTGTTCTGTACGTATGCAGTGCATACAGAACAGACCAACCACATGCATACTATGCACGTGGTGTGTCCATATTTAACAAAGTAATGACTCATGAATCCTATAGGTATTCCATGCAACGGTTAATTGTTTCGCTGGGCTATCAACTACCAGCACAATATTAGATTACAGTTGTTATATATTTACATGCTTTGTTTATGTTGGATTATAAAATTTGATAATTGAATTGAAATGGTTGTCTAAAAAATACGAGATTTTGATGGAATTATTCAACTTAAAGTTTCATGAGTATTTGGTTGGTTGTATATGTAAGAAGTCGTTTACCATTTGTTGATAGTTGAGTTATTTGTGAGTTTAGGGAGATGATACCTCGTTGTAATGGTATGAGTAAATACGAGGCAAATTGAGACATTGAATGATAATTTCCATAAAACATCATCCAGTGATTGCTCGCTGTAAAATGTAAATACGAGGCGTATTGAGACAACTACTTATATACACAGTTAAATTATAACAATTAAGCTTTCTAATATTTAATTTTACTCTAATGCAATCACTTTATCCATATTTTTACAAAATATTCGTGCTCACAATATTATGCGAATTTTATGAATAATTAGGTAATAATAATGTAATTATGAAGTAACTAATATCCCCCAATTTATATCTTCCCAGGTCCTTGAAGTTATTTTCCCCCACCTGGACCACGCCTCCCTGAAAGCCTGCAGCCAAGTATCCACCCTCTGGTCCGTCATGGCCACCCCCCTGCTCCGATCTCGCTCCCAGATCCACCTCGAAGGCTCCCTCCACGACGACCGGAGTGACGCTTTCCTCTCAACGCTCACCCCCACCGACACCCTTCCCATGGCCAGTCTGACCTACAACCTCCACCACACCTCGTCCCCCTTCCTGTCCGAAAGAGCGTCCAATTTCTTCTCCACCTTCGGTCATTCCCTCACCTCCCTCACCCTACAAGCCTTCGCCCTCCAAGACCCGGCCAATTCCCTCGGCACGAACCATTTCTTCTCTGTCGTGTCCCAACTTGTGAGTCGCGACTGTCCCTCTTTGACCCACTTGACCTTGTCCCACCTCCAACAACTCGACTACGAAGACTCCCTCGACCCTGAGATCGAATCCCGACTAAGCTTCACCTCTCCTTCGATCCGTCACTTAACCATTTCCTTCGAAGGGAAGTCCTCCCTCGTCCGACCGAGACGCGCCTTGAACTGCACGGCCGTTTTGAAACGCCTCCTCGCCATCGCCCCCAACGCGATCACATTGGACACCGACTTCTCCCTCTGCGGGGAAGAAACTTTCACCTACTTCCTCATGACGCTGAGAGACGCGAAGATTTCGGGCCACCTGACCAGCTTCTCCCTCACCGGGGGCCCACTCGACAAGGTGGCGATAAGCGTGCAAAACTCAATGACCTTCTCCAAACTCACCTCGCTCAAGATCAACGCCCAAATCACGGCCCAAGTGCAGACCGAATTTGTCCAGTTTTTAGAAAAGTTGAGCCCAACGCTGCAAAAGTTTGAAATGGTTGGCGACAAATGGGGCAGATTTGGGTTGCAGGGGAGAATGGCGAGGTATGAAGAGGGGTTCACGATGGATTTCCCCCTCATGCCGAAACTCAAGGTGTTTCAGTTTCAGAATTATGAGGGCTTGCGACTAGGGAGTGAAGATTTTTTGCAAAGATTGCCAAATTTGGGGGAGCTGGTGATTTGCGACTTTCAACCCTCGTTGGGAGATATGATGCTGTGTCCACAGCGCACCGTGTTTGGGACAATGTTCGGTCCAAGACGTTACAGAATGGGGGACATCACGGCAAAAAATCCTAACGTCCATGTCAAGAAGGTCGTTCTTGATGTGGTCTTTGTCCCCTCGTTTGAGAATCAGGGCTCGATGGACAAACTATTAAAAATGTTTCCAAACGTGCAAGAGTTGGAGCTTACTGTTAGCTTCGCTTATCAAAACGTGTACGTGGGTCAAGTTTTGGACACTTTGGCCAGATCGAAGATTAAGAAGCTCAAGATCAAGTTTTTGCAGTGTGCTGAACTCAGATCTGAGAGGGTTGCGGCGTCATTTCATTCCGCCTTGGTGAATTGTTTGCCCAGATTTTCTCGTAAGTTAATTTCCATTATTTACAAATATGTATTAAAATTGTTGAATTGAATTGAAAAATCTAAAAAAAAATACTATTTTGAATGGAAACTTTATTTATTTGTCTGAATTACAGAACTGCAACGGGTCGACTTTATCTTGGACGACATGCCACCAATGTCCAGATTCACCTTGCCACTTTACATAGTCAAAGGGATATTATGCACCAGGTCATTGAGCGTCCTTAACCTGACCGGATTTTGCATTGGGGTGAGTATTTATTTATTTATTTCGATTTCTGAGATTATTTCTTATCAGCGAAGAAGTTTGTGACGAGTATAAATAAATCTAAATTTGTATATATTTTTATCTGACTGATTTCAGGAGGATTTTGAAGAAACGGAAACGTGTCGCCAACTCTTAGATAACAAATTGGCCCACTGGAAACTTAGCGAGAGTTTGATGCCTTATTCAGATTTTAGTCATTTCGAGTATTAATTAATTGGTTATAAGATTCTTTGTCATGATTTTAGATGGAGACTTTGAGTAGGTTTTGATAATTGAGGAGTTTTTTGGTTGAGATAAGTAGTCTGAGGTTTATGAGAATTACGTATTTCGTGTTTGTTTTTACATTATTTTTTACTTCAGCTATAATTGAATTATTACATACGTTAGCTTCATATGTTAGTTAGGAATTTTGCACATATTTTGAATATCTGACAGATATGCAAATTATGTACACAATTCCTATCCAAAATTCTAAAGATGTCAAAACAGATACATACTATCTGGTTTGGCATCTTTGGCATATACATTTCGTGAAAATCTTATTTATTTTTTCGTATTTATTTATATTTTTTAACTTAATTATTATTAAACATTATTTTCATAGGTTAGGAATTTTGTACTTATTTTATATATCTTGACATTGTAAATATTTAGTGACAATCTCTGAAGAATAAACTTGTAAGTTTTCAAAGTATTAAACAACTTTTACATTCGAGGAGGCGGATTGCATACGCATAATTTCCATTATATTTCCTTAAAAAATATGTAAATGTCATACATTAA